CCAGGGCCCTCAACAAGAATCTAGTCACCAGTGCTTTGTTCCCTCAGCTCTGCCTGGGACCTGCTGCCTGCCCAGGCCTGCCCAGTTCTTGGCCCCCAGCCCTGAGGGTCTGTTTCCTGTTTCTCTTTGCCCTTCCGAGCTCACCTCGAGGATCTCTGCCACCATAGTGTTGTGCGGCTTCTCCTCAGTGAGCCCATCCCCCACCATCCTGGCCCCCTCAGTGTTCTCAGGACCCCATTTTATATCCCCAGAGAAGAACCCTCACCTCTAGGCTTCCCCTCAGCCCTGCAGCCAGTGGGGCCCAGCTCTGCATTCTCCCCATGCCTGGGCTGCCTCCAGAGCTTTGTTCTTTCCCCTCCCGTCCTCCAGGCTCACACTGCCTGTTCTTCCGGGGTAGGGCCACCTTCCCTCTGCCCAGCCCCTCCCCGACATGCATCCTGTGGCCCAGCCTGCCTCTCCACTGGAAGTCCTGCCACTGGCTGGGGGACTAGGAGAGCACACAGACCACCCACCCTACACCAGGTCCCAGCTTCCACACCTCCACCTCTGAAATCTGGATGCCAGGACCAGGGTGGGAACCCCCGTCTCGGCTTCTCCTCACACTGCCTTCATCGGCATTAGCCCTTTTCTAGACCCGTCCTTCTTCTCCCAGTCTCTCCACCTCCTGTAGTGCCTCCTCCTTCTCCACCTGCCCATACCCACCCCAGGATCCATCACCTGCCCGTCTTTCTTGTGCCCTCAGCTCCTGCCCAGGCAGATAGAAGCCCTCCATCCAGCCACATGGCTTCTCCTTGTCTACACTGGGTGTCCCAGGGCAAAATCACACAGTTGGTGCCAGTGGGCCCAGCAACCATCGTCCACCTCCTTCCCCACCAAAGTTGCTTCAAACCAAAAAAAATCCAGGTTGGCCGATCTTTGTACAAATGGGGAGACTGAGACCCAGAGACCTTCCAGGGTAGTGCAAACAATTAGTGCACTCAGCTGCTAACTGAAAGGTTAGTGGTTTGAGCTCGTCCAGAGGCACCTTGGAAGAAAGTCCTGGTGATCTACTTCTGAAAAATCAGCCATTGAAAACGCTATGGAGCACAGTTCTACTCTAGCACACGTGAGTTCACCGTGAGCCGGAATTGGCTCGATAGCAACTGGTGGTTGTGGTATGAAGTGCAGAGAGGAGCAGAGATCAGCCAGAAATTGCCCAGTGAGCCCCAGGAGAACCCGGCCTACCTTTTCCCAGGCCTGGGTGCCATCCATCCTGTGGATGCCTGGGCGTTACGGGGTGGGCAGTGCTGGGTTCCCCTGTGGCCCTTTACCTAGTGTGGCAGCAGGGCTGGAGGGCACAGGAGACCAGGCTAAGGGTGGCCTGTGAGGATCAAAGGCAGCATCTGTGGTGGCTGTGGAGGATCTGCCAGATTCAAGGGTGATTTAGCTCTGTCACTCACAGCTGTGGGTCCTTGGGCAAGTTGTTCAGCCTTTCTGAGCCTCAGCTTCCTCAATGTAAAATAGCGATAATAGTCTGTACTCATGGACTTGTTGAAAGGAGTCAGTGAGCTGGTATTTGTAAAGCACTTAGCAGAGGGCCTAGCACAAAGTAAATGCTTAATAAAAGGGACTTATTGTTGAATAATAGATCCCTGGATGGCATAATCAATTTGCACTCGGCTACTAACCTAAAGGTTGATGATTTGAGCCTACCCAGTGGCACTGCGGAAGAAAGGCCTGCCAATCTACTTCCGTAAAGATTACAGCCAAGAAAACCCTGTGGAGCACAGAAACTCTATGGAGCACAGCTCTACTCTGTAACACATGGGGTTGCCAGGTTTCAGAATTGACTTGATGGCAGTGGGTTTGGTGTTTTTGGTTATTGTTGAGTAAAGAATCGTAGCCCTACTAGGAACTTTCTGACCCTATTCAGGCTTCGGGGAGAGGGGAGCTGGGTGTGGGCACTGAACTCTTGGAGCAGAACAGACAGGGAGAGCACATGGGCCGTGGAGCTGTGCACCCATGGGCTCCAGCTCTGACTTAAGCTCTCTCCTGAACAAGCCATTGAGTCACTCAGAACTTGTTTCCTCATTTGTAAAACGGGGTAACACCTTTTGAGGTGGGAGTGATTATCAGGAGTGATTGTCAAGTATGGAAAGCAACCAGCATGTATTATTAATATAAATACACCTGTGGGTGCAGCCCTTGAGCTGAGCCACCTCAGAACCAAGAGCCCACAGGCAGGAAGCTGAGTCAGGAGAACCCAGGGCTTTAGTCTCACTGGGCAGGAGCTGAGGGGACAGGAAGGAGAGGCAAAGGCAGTGGATCCTGAGGTGGGTGTGGGCAGTGGGGGAAGAAGGAGTCCCCACAGGAGGTGGAGAGACTGGGAGATCGAAGGGTCAAGAACCAGGGCTAATGCGCTGAAGGCAGCTGTGGGGAGAGGCCAGGAGGGCTCAGAGCTCCTTGAGGCATGCTGGGGTGGGGGGCTCCCAGGTTAGCATGAGGTGCAGATGGGATCAAGAATGCAGGACCTGGGGAGCAGGTAGCTGGGCCTCTAAGTCAGGTGACTCAGGTCCTCAGAGCGGGGGGCGAGGCTGCCACCGGACCTGTGGGGGCAAGGAGGACCGACTGGAGATTGAAGCACGCAGGATTGTTGAAGCGCCTGTCCCGACTCTCTTAAAATCGTCCCATATCTCTTTCCTTCACTGCGCAAGCATCTGTTGAGGAGGTCACACCCTGAGGCTCTTCCCCCTTCCCCAGCTTCAGCCAGAGTAGCTGAGCTTTTCTCTGTTTTATTTTTCATTTGGGGGAAAAAACCTGGTTTGGCTGCTGAAAACAGTCTCATGATGTGGACTTCTTTGGGAGGCCTGGGGTTCCCTCCCACGGGGCAGGGTAGACCCTGAGGTGCAGGGTTTGTGGCTCTCCCTCTGAGGACCCCACTCTGTCCCCACCCAAGCCCAACCCCTGAGCCAGGGCTCCGAGGCACGTGCGCGCTGGGCACAGGGGACCATGTGGTTCTCGGCACAGGCTGCCCCTTCCAGGCCCTCCGCCCTCCCCCATTTGCAAGTCTGCTGGGACTCCGCTGTCTCAAAGGCAGGGAGACCAAGGCTCCAAAAGGGTCCCTCTGACCCCATCATCTTAGCATCCATGTGGTCCTTGCCTTTTCATCACCTCACTCAGTCCTTCCTGCGACCCCGGGAGGGATGGTCTCCCCACTGGCCACAGGCACACAGCCCGAGAGTGAGCCCACAGGTCCGGTGACTCTGGGGCCCTGGCCCCACTGCACCACCTGCTGCCTGCCTGAGCCCACCTTTCCCAGCCTTGTCTGCCCAGCCAGCCCCGGAGATGGGCATTCGTAGCCCACAGCAGGTGGCCTGGGTGCTGGGTAAGGGGGACTCCACAAGCAGCCAGCCTGGGTGGGGCAGGACAGGGAAACAAATGGTCAGTGAGCAGCAGGGTGTGGCCAGGGCCCCAGTCCGCAGGTGGCAGCAGCTCCCGCAGGGAATCATGTAAGCAGCATTGGCTGGAGGTGTCCCCACCCTTGCCTCGCCTGCTCTTCTTGCTGTCCTCCCTGTGCTGAGCCCCAAGCCGAGCCTTCCCAGGGTCCCCGCAGCCCCAGGCACCTCTCTGGTCTGGGGACACCCAGGCCTCCAGCTCCAATTGCAGAGCCTTACTCCCACTATGCTCCCAGGCCCCCAGTACAACTGCCTCCCACCCCCACCGGACCCTCTGCTCACCCTGGCTCCCTGGTCTGGCACCAACCAGCTCCTCTAAACCTCGTAGACTGGAAAACTGGAGGGTTTCTTCCTCCCCCTACCCTGTCTGGCCAGGGACCCGAGACCCACAGGTCCTGCCTCCCTCCCTGCCTCTGCCGAGGCCCTTGCTGCCTGCCCCTTACCCCAACCCTGATTCTCTGCATGGCTCAGTTCTCCCAGCCACCCCAGCCTCTGCTGCCCCAGGAAGGCCCCCGGACCCTCCTCCGATCCACCCAGGACTACATGGAGCACTGGACAGGGCTGGTCAGCAGGCTGGTGCACTCAGGCTCCGAAATACCACTGCATTGGTGCTTGCTTGGGCCCAGCAAGGGCACAGATGATGCTCCACCCCAGAGGCAATGGCATGCTCAGGAGGTTCACAGAGTGAGCTAGCATAGAGGCTGTCGAGCTGGACCTGGGGCGCCCCCACCAGGGCCTTTGTGCCTCCTGGCTCCCTGCCTGGTGCAGCGTGTGGGCAGCCTTATGTTCACGCAAGGCGTCAGCAGGGGTCTGTGACGGACACAGACTGTGCCTGGCTTGTGTCTGCCTGGTTCCCCAGGGCCTGCAAGGGCCTGCTGGCTGGAGGAAGGCAGCAATCAATAACAGACTGACAGGGCAGGCAGGGCAGCCCCAGGGGTGGGCAGGGAGCAGGCAGGGCTGCCCCTGGGATCTCCCAGGTTGGCAGCCGGGCAGGGAGCAAGCTTTCAGGCTCTGGTTCTTCCACAGATGACCCTAGGTCTCAGCCCGGGGCGGGGCCATCCCAGGCCCTGTGTTTTATCACCTGTGATGTGATGCTCTCCAGATACCGGTCAGGAATGGCCCAGCTCCAGAACTTGGGCTGGGAGGAGGCTGCAGGGACTCAGCACAGGGGCCACCTGAGGACTTGGCAGTCCAGGGGGACTTCTGAGGGAAAGGCCCTTGGGCTGGATCCTGAAGAGCGAGGCCTTTAGCGGTTAGAGTTAGAGGAGTGAAGCAAGCACTGTAGGTAGAGAGCACAGTGTGTGCAAAGGCCTGGCAGTGAGGGTAGAGGGGAGTTGTTTAGCCAGGCTGGAGTGCCAGGTGGGAGATGAAGTGGGAGAGGCCAGGAGGCTGGGGATTGGAGTGTAGGCTGGAGGCGGATGATGGCGTTTTCCTGCAAGTTTAGGGCTTTATACCCATTCCCAGCTCACGTGCTCTCCTGGTCCTCCCTGATGGGCCTCACAGGCTGCCCCCTGCCCCAGGGCCACAGGCGGTCCCTCACCCCTCCCTCCTGTCCCGTCTCTGCAGCCGTGGGTGGGGCCTGTGCCTGGATGACCCCCCCACCAAGGATGTCATTGACTTCCCCTTGGTGCCGCCTGGCGTCATCTATGATGTGAGCCATCAATGCCGCCTGCAGTACGGGGCCTACTCCGCCTTCTGTGATGACATGGACGTGAGTGTGGGGCACGTGTGGGCTTAGGGGCTGGGGGGCGGAGGGGTGTGTGGGGCCTGGCAGGCAGAAGGACTCAAGGGACAGTCCTTTCCAACCTGGGGACACTAGCCTTGGAGGGACCCTGCCCAGCCCTGGGCTCGGCCTCCACATGACACCGAGAGACACCGAGTAGCCTGTGGGAGAGGCCTCAGATCAGATGGCCACAGACTCATGTCTGAATTCTGGGTCAACCATTTCCCAGCTGTGGGGCTTTGAGGCAAGTCCCTCCACCTTCCTGCAGCTGATTTATAGAAGAGGGGAAATAAACGCCCCCGGTGGGATGCTGGGGATGGTCACCTACACTGATGGGCACGGGCAGAGGCCCCACAGCTTCGTGGACGTCTGTCCAGGCAAGTGGGCTTGGGCTCCAGAGCTTGTGGATCAGCTGGAGGCCACAGCTCTGAGCAGCAAACCCCAGCCTCAGGGCCCCGCCCAGGGCTCCCCACAACACCACCCAGTCAGAAAGCAAATGGGTGGGAGAGAGAGCAGAAACAAAAGACAAGAGGGGGCCTCTGGGAATCTTCATGTCTGCAGACCTCCTCCCCCCATGTACCAGTCCCATGGAGGGGTGCCCAGGAGCCTCAGGGGCAGTGAGCGGGGGCAGGGCGGGTGGCTGCACTGGGGAGGGCGTGAGGGTCTGGCTGTGCCCTTCTCCTTACAGAATGTCTGCCACACTCTCTGGTGCTCCGTGGGGACCACCTGTCACTCCAAGCTGGATGCAGCTGTGGATGGTACCAGGTGTGGGGAGAGCAAGGTAGGGGATGCCCTCAGCCCCAGCTGTGGTGGGGGGTGAGAGGCCAGACTTCCTGCTATGCCTTGGGATCAGCCTTGGCGCACAGACTGGCTTGTGCTCTTAGCAGTCCCAGCTGTCTCTGGCCCGAGTCCCTGTGATCCTCCAAGACAGGGAGCATGTGGACTCTTGCATTCCCTGCTAGCTCCACCATGAGGCCTGTGTCTTGGATGACTGTGAGGAGGCCCCCTACCCCTTTGATCCTCCCTTTCTAGGCCTTCCTGCCTACCTCGTTCTCACTAGGGTGAGGATGACTGATAGGCTTGGGATGGGGCTGCCCTCTGTCTTTGTAGTGGTGTCTCAATGGGGAGTGTGTTCCTGTGGGCTTCCAGCCCAAGGCTGTGGATGGCGCCTGGTCCGGCTGGAGCGCCTGGTCCATGTGCTCGCGGAGCTGTGGCGTGGGAGTGCAGAGCACTGAGCGGCAGTGCACACAGCCTGTGTAAGTGCGGGCCCAGGGGGCCTGTGGCAGGGTGGGATCCAGGGCCCTGAGCAGAGTCAGATGATTGGGGGAGAGCTTGGCTCTGTCCCAGCCCCTGCCCTGAGAGGTGTCCCCATAGAGGCCAAGCTTGGAGCGCCCATGGCCACCTTGGGTCACTCCAGGGTGGTGTCCTGGCACCTGACAGGGCCCGACTGCTGACCCCATTGCAGAGAGGGGAACACTGAGGCCCAGAAACTGGAGGGACTCATCAGAGGCCACGCAACAAAGCAACAGCTAGCTGGAGGGCGGCAGGAGAGGGCAGTGGTTAAGAGCTTAGACCCTGGACCTGAAACGATCAGGGTTCAGATTCCCTCTCCACCCTGGGGCAAAGGCTTTCGCCACCCCTTCTCTGAGCCTCATTTTCCTCGCCTGGGTAATTGGGCAACGCAGCCCACCTGACAGAGTTGTAGTCGGGGGGAAAATGCAGTTACTGCAGGTATAGCGTTTATTCCAGTGACTAGTCTGTAGTAAGTACTCAGCAAGTAGTTGCTGCTTAAACGTGTAAGACCTAATTTATTAGTGGTTACTGGGGGTGGAAGGATGGGGAAACGAGGAGTCATTGTTTAGGAGGCAGTGAGTTTCTGTTTATAATGATGGTAAATTTGGCAATGGATATTGGTGATGTTTGCACAACATGATTAATGTCATCGGTGCACTAAATGTGCACGTGGAAAACGTTGCATTAGCAAATATTGTGTTATATATACTTCTACAGTTAGAAAAAAATAGCTATAAACTTCAATCTCTACAGCTCCTGACAAAATATAAATGCCTTTTTAGGGCCAATATAATTTTTTGGGGAAAAAAAAAAAGATACCACAAGAGATGAGTACGCTGAAAATGAAAAATAAATTATTGTATCTAATCAAAAATATTATTTACAATAAATTTAAACAAAGAAGTTTAAAAAAAAAATAGTTACTGCTTAGCAGTGTCAGAGGTATGACCTGGGTCTGAGATGAGATTGGGGGCAGTTGGGAGGATGGGCAGCACTGAGGTGATGGTTAGTGTGACCTGGGGCGAGTGACTGCACCTCTTTGGGCCTCAGTTTCCCCATCAGAGGTGCAGATCCAGTGAGGTATGGAGGCTGGCAGTACTGTAGACTGGGGCTGCTGGCTCTTTTGGATGAGCCCCTCTTCAGTGGGCTGCCCCTGGGTGGACAATGAGATTCATAGCCAGCCCCTCCTAGGGCCTTTTCTTGGCAGATTTCAGCCTCTATCCCCCCGACCCCCTGGCCTGCCCGTCTGAGCTGAGGTGGGGACAGTCACACTGGCCCAGATGTAGGTGAGGGTCAGGTGCTGCACTTAGGGCAGACCTCTCGGCCAAGGGCTTCCTCTTGACTGGGCTGAGGTGCTGCCACCAGGAGCAAGTCAGCTGACACATGGGCTCATCGGGACACTGGGTCTCATGGGCTGGAGACTCAGAGAAGCCCCTCCAGCCGGTGCTGGTCACATGCGAAGCTTGTTCCAGCCTCCCAACAGCCCTCTGCAGAGGCAGTCCCAACCCATTTTATAGATGCAGAAACTGAGGATCAGAGAGGGCCGAAGACTTGCCCAAGGTCACACAGCAGGTTGAGGGCTGAGCCCAGGCTTCTTGCTGCTATCTTCACTTAGGTCCTTGTAAGTAGGGAGAAGGTGTCTGTTTGAGCCAGAGGGTGGGCAGCCCAAGAGGAGAGAACAGCGTGAGCACAGGTGGGTGGCGGGAGACTCTGGGTGTTAGGGATGCAGGCGGAGGCTGCTCACTCTGAGGGCCTACTCCTGGATCTGAGTATACAGTAAGCATTCACTGTGTGCTCACTCAGCCCCCACCCGGCTCTCCCCACAGGCCCAAATACAAGGGCAAATACTGCGTAGGCGAGCGTAAGCGCTTCCGCCTGTGCAACCTGCAGGCCTGTCCACCTGGCCGTCCCTCCTTCCGTCACGTCCAGTGCAGCCACTTTGACACTATGCTCTACAAGGGCCAGCTGCACACCTGGGTGCCCGTGGTCAATGACGGTGAGTCCTACCGCCTGTGGGGAGACTGAGGCTCAGAGCGGTGGGGATTTGTGGGCCCAGGGTCACCCAGTGATACAGGCAGGAGGCTCTGTCCCCACCCCCAGCTCTGGGCTGTTCCTCACTGTGCCCTGGGGCTGCCACTCCCTCCTAGCTCCCCAGTCTGCAGCCTTGCAGACAGTTACCAGCCCAGTTGGAGCCTATGGCATGTTTGCATGGTGGTTTGGGAGCCTCGGCCTGCTGTTGGTACTTGTCGCGGTGGGGTCTTCCTGGCGGCCTCCGTGATGCCTGCCCTGGCTGTCCCTGATGGCTCCTCCACTTGGGCCCCCAGTGAACCCCTGCGAGCTGCATTGCCGGCCCTTGAATGAGTACTTTGCTGAGAAGCTGCGGGACGCCGTGGTCGACGGCACGCCCTGCTACCAGGGCCAGGCCAGCCGTGACCTCTGCATCAACGGCATCTGCAAGGTGTGCCCGGATAGGAAGAGGGGTCTCCCAGCACCGCCTGCCCTCAACCCCCCTGGCAGCACCAGGTCCTCCTCTGGGCCCCTCCTGGTCTCCCAGGCTGTACCATTGGGCTTCCTAGCTCCTGCCAGTGAAGCCCTTTGATGGCCTCCTGTCACTTCTAGGGCAAAGCCCCCAGCACTCCCTTGGCCCTTGAGACCCCTCACAGTCCAGCTTCACACCCCTAGCTCCTACCTCTTCACCCCACCTTCCCACACCTTCCCCCACCAGTTGCCGCGGCTTCTATCACAGGCTGCACAGCGGAAACCTGAGCCCAGCAGCGGCTCTGCCTCCCACTGGCTGAATGACTCCAGGCAGTGGTTTTCTCTTTGCGAGAAAAGGGCCAGCTCTGGTGGCATTTGGTAGCAATTCTTATTATTTCCGGTAATGGTGGTAGCCGCACCTCCCTTTTTGTCCTTGCTTCCAAGAAATGAAAGGAGCCCTGCTGGCGTAGTGGTTAAGTGCTTAGCTGCTGACCGAAAGGTTGGCGGTTCGAACCCACCAGCCACCCAGCGGGGGAAAGATGTGATAGTCTGCTTCCATAAAGATGACATTGGAACCCTATGGAGCAGTTCTACTCCTGTAAGGTCACCATAAGTCGGAATTGACTCAACAGCAATGGGTTTGGATTTTGGTTTTCAAGCAATGAAGCTACTGGGAGCTTAAGAGGACTGGGTTCAGAGGAGGACCAGCAGGGAAGGTGCTAATCCCGAGTGCCTTTGACTTTGAATCCCACTTCTGGAAAATCCACAAACACACTGGTCAGGAGCCCATGGTGTTGCCAGCTCCCCTGCCCACCATAGCCTTTTATAAAACTTTTCCCATCTCCTGTTCCATGTGATCCTCACAGATCAATCTCCCCATTTCACATCTGTGGAAACTGAGACTCAGAGAAGGGTTCACCTGGAGTCAGACTGAATAGCTGTGGTGGGTCAGGGCCCAGAGCCAAGGGCTCCCAACCCCCACTCTGGAGCTCTGTCCTTGAGGCCCTAGCAGGCCTCTGGGGCTGGGGCCAGGAGAGGGCTGGTGGCCGGCGGCCCAGCACAAGGGGCCTCCCCTCCCACCCCCTGTGTGTTACAGAATGTCGGCTGCGACTTCGAGATTGACTCGGGAGCCGTGGAGGACCGCTGCGGTGTGTGCCACGGCAACGGCTCCACCTGCCACACCGTGAGCGGGACCTTTGAGGAGGCAGAGGGCCTAGGTATGGGGTGGGACAGCTGGCGGGTGGGGATGCTCTGGACCCTGGCCGCCCCTTTCTCATCTGCCCCAAGCTCCTCCCCTTGGCACCGTGATCCCCACCCAGGCTAGAGATGGGAAGCAGGGAAGGCTTCTTGCCTAGTCCAGGTCCCCTGTAGGAGTGAGGGGTACGTCCACCGAGGCGCCGAGACCTGTCCTCATGGAAGCCCCCGTCCCAGGGACCCTGGCTGGGCCAGCCAGGCTTGAGGGTGGTCCCTGGCCCTTTCATGGGGTACTGTCTTCTTACAAAGCTTCAGAGGCCCACCCCCACCACCCAGCTCCACTCCCTTGCCTCAGCTTGTTCTGTGCACATTGCTTAAATGTCAACTCTGTGGTAGTTGGTGGGGACATGGAGGTGAAGAGCTCACAGGACAAGGTGACAGAACAGATGGTGATCCCTTAGTGGCAAATGCAATGGAGAGAGGCCCAGGGGGCTGGGAGAGCACTGAGGAAGGTCCTGACCTGGGGAGGTCAGGGAGGACTTACTGGAGGAGGCAGAAATGGAGCTGACTCATAAAAGACTCAGACAAAATAGGGAGGAGCGTTCCAAACGGAGTGCTGACACCTGGAGGCAAGAAGAGTATGCTCTGTCTGGGGGCCTGTGAGGAAGGTAGGGTGACTGTGGGAGCCTTGAATGCCAGGTCAGGAAGCTTAGATTTCATCCTGGAGATGCAGTATAGCGTGCAGTTGAAGCACAGACCCTGAAGCCTGGTTTGTATCCCAGCAGGACCCTTGGGCAAGTTACTTAACCTCTCTGTGCCTCAGTTTCCTCATCCGTAAACCGAGGATAACAATAGTACATAGGGTGTTAACACTTGCGTTAACGTATGTAAAATGCTTAGTGTAGTGCCAGGCACGTGGCAGGTTCTTCCTAAGTGAAAGGGGAAAAAAAGGCTGTATAGGTGGGGAGGAGGTCCCAGGAATGTCCCAGTCAGTTTGGTATTTCAGGAAGGTCATGCTGGCCCCGGGTGTGACAAGGATCCTTGTGACAAAGAGACCAGGGAAGGGCCAGCCAAGCCCTCCAGGGAGAGGTTTGGCAGAGCATGGGTCATGGGGCAGGATTTGAGGAGCTTTTCTGAGGTTTTGGTGATGTAAGACAGATCAAAGCATCTGCCTCTTGGGAGAGCTCAGAATCTGAAGCTAATGGAATCTTCAGCATGAGCAGGAAGGGGCAAGTGGGAAGAGAGGTGCAGGAAAATGGTGGTGGACAGCCATTCCTCCCACCCTGAGGCCTCTGCACAACCCTTCACAACAGGGTATGTGGATGTGGGGCTGATCCCAGCTGGTGCGCGCAAAATCCACATCGAGGAGGTGGCTGAGGCTGCCAACTTCCTGGCCCTGCGGAGTGAGGACCCAAATAAGTACTTCCTCAATGGCGGCTGGACCATCCAGTGGAACGGGGAGTACCAGGTGGCGGGCACCACCTTCACATACGCACGCACAGGCAACTGGGAGAACCTCACGTCCCCAGGCCCCACCGCCGAGCCTGTCTGGATCCAGGTGCCTCCCTCCCGAAGCCTGGGGTGGGGGGAAGCAGAGATGGGGTTCTCGGGCCCAGCCCCCCATTGCAGGGTGTAAGCCCTGGCACAATCACAGAGCGTGGCTCTGGGCCTGGCTCTACTGCTGAGGCCTCTGCCTCAGTTTCCCTATCTCTAAAATATCCCCACGGTATAGCCCCAGCTCAGAGGTGGTTGGGGTCGGCTCCTTTAGGGTGGTTACTCCGGGTGGCAGATCCCAGGCAGAGAGGGAGGACATCTCGTGCTCATGGGGCCCCCACCTACCTTCCCCAGCTGCTGTTCCAGGAGAGCAACCCTGGGGTGCGCTATGAGTACACCATCCACAGGGAGGCAGATGGCCACAATGAGGCCCAGCTGCCCGTGTTCTCCTGGAACTATGGGCCCTGGACCAAGTGCACAGTCACCTGTGGCACAGGTGAGAAGGGGGATGGGCACAGGGGCCGTCTCTGGGCAGGGATGCCCGGCTTCATCCCTCAGCTCCCTGCTTATTTGCTGGGCCACCATGGGCTTGGAACTTTACTTCTCTGAGCCTCAGTTTCCCCGTCTGTAAAATGGGGATAGCAACAGCCCCTGTCTCGTAGGGCCACTGAGGTTACATGGATAAGGCAGGTAAAGCACATGTTGGGTGCTGAGTATGTCTCTATTCAGAAAGGCACCGGCTCTGTCTTCCTTCTCTCCTCATTGCTCAGCTCTGGCAGGTCTTGGGCCTGTGTCTCTGCTTCATTCTGAAGATCTGGCTCCTCCCTCCCGTACCTTCACCTGAATGCACCTGTCAGGGTGGGTTCACTCCCCTGCTCCAGCTCCTACCTGGAGGACGGGCTGCCCAGCAGGCCCCTCCTCCCTGGGGCCCTCCAGCCTCTCCTGGGAGGCCCAGAGCCTGTTGCTCCCTGGGCTCCTGCCCCACAGGAAGAGGAACAGTGGTTAAGTGCTTGGCTGCTAACCAGAGGAAACCCTGGTGGCGTAGCTACAGCTGCTAACCAAACGGTCGGCAGTTCAAACCCACCAGCTGCTCTGTGGGAGAATGATGTGGCAGTCTGCTTCCATAAAGATGACAGCCTTGGAAACTCTAGGGGGCAGTTCTACCCTGTCCTACAGGGTCGCTGTGAATCAGGATCGACTCAACGGCAATGGTTTTTACAGCAATCGGACTAACCCTCACTCTCCCCTCCCCTCAGCCCCCTCTCTCTGCCCCTCAGCCTCCCTTCCTTCTGCCCCTCAGTCTCCCCATCTTTGACCCTCAGTGTCCAGGGATCTCAGTATCAGGCATCTGGTACAGAGACATTTAAACATCCCTGTTCTGGGAGGGCCCCCGGATGTGACCAAGTGTCAGGTTGGGACGGCTTGGGCAGGGGGCATCCTGGGTGCCAGGGCCAGACTGAACCCCCATGGCCTCCCCAGGCATGCAGAGGCAGAGTGTGTACTGCACTGAGTGGCAGGCAGGGCCCGTGGACGAGGGACACTGTGACCCCCTGAACCGGCCCGATGACCGCCAGAGGAAGTGCAGCGAGGACCCCTGCCCAGCTCGGTGAGCACCACCCCAGCCACTGCTCCCAGGTGTCCCATCCTGTCCTGTCCTGCCGCAGGCCTCCACATCAGAGGGGAGGAGCAGAGTGAGGCAGGCTCTTGGCCCCTCTGCCCAAGACTGAAGCCCCAGCCCCTGGTTGCCCACCACCCCAGCCTGGGCTCTCCACCCTCACCTCCTCTTTGGGGCCCTGGCCTGGATATGGAAACAGGTCTTGGGTCTTGCCCAGGACCCCTGGGGTGAGGGTGGCAGAATTTGAACCCAGGCCTCTTTGGTGATGGGGACTGTGCCATACTGCCAGGCTTTGGGGGCAGGGCACCGACCTGGGCTTGGAGCTCTGGAATCATCCAGGGCTCAGACCAGACCCTGCCCAACCCCTGAGTGCCTGCGAGACTGGCCTGGCCTGGCCCTCCCTGCTTGTAAGCCTGCTGAGCCCACGCTGATGTCACCTGTGTACCCCCCTACCAGGTGGTGGGCAGGCGAGTGGCAGCCGTGCTCCCGCTCCTGCGGGCCTGGGGGCCTCTCCCGCCGGACAGTGCTCTGCATCCGCAGTGTGAGGCTGGACGAGCAGAGTGCCCTGGAGCCGCACGCCTGTGAACACATCCCCCGGCCCCCTGCTGAAACCTCTTGCAACCATGACATACTCTGTCCTGCCACCTGGGCTGTGGGGAACTGGTCTCAGGTGAGTGTTGGGATGGGAGGGGGCCAGGACAGGCCCACCCCCAGCTGCACCATCTGTCTTGGGCTCCAGGGAGGCAAAAAGAGCCTTCATGGGGACTTTATTGCCTGGCACCATGAGTGCGAGGGAGGCTGGGGGACCCTGGGGTCCAGCCCCTGTGCCCAAAGCCTCAGGGACCAGGATGTCCTGGCAGTCACAGCAACAAGCCAGGTCCTGAGCTGGGCGTGGCCAGAGAGGGCTGGCCGAGGCCTATGCCACTCTGCCATCTTGCAGGGAGAGGTTACCCTGCCATGTCCCAGCCTCTCACTCTGACCTCCCCCTGCAGTGCTCGGTGACATGTGGGGTGGGCATTCACCACCGAAATGTCCTCTGCACCAATGACACTGGTGTCCCCTGCGACGAGGCCCAGCGGCCAGCCAGTGAGGCCGCCTGCCCTCTGTCGCCCTGCCCACGGCCCCTGGACATGCTGGGCCCAGAAGGTTCGGGCAGTGGCACCTCCAGCCGGGAGCTCTTCAATGAAGTGGACTTCATCCCCCGCCACGTGGCCTCACGCCCTGTCCCCCCCTCGACACCCGAGCCAGCGAGCATGGGCAATGCCATCGAGGAGAAGGACCTGGAGCCGGGCCCTGCGGGGCCTGTGTTTGTTGATGACTTCTACTACGACTACAATTTCATTAACTTCCATGAGAACCTGTCCTACAATCCCCTTGAGGAGCCGGACCCAGACCTGGCAATCCTGACAGGGGACGGCACACCCCCATCCCTGAGCAATCCTGCTGAGCTCCCCATGAGCACCCCCATACCTACCACTGAGCCTCCAGGGGCCGAGGAGAAGGGAGGACTGGGAGATTGGTTCCCTACCCCGTGGCCCAGCCAGGCTGCCCACTCCCTGTCCCCACCTTCGGATCAGGCCCCAGGGAACCCCTTGGCCAATTTCTTGTCTGAGGAAGACGTCCCCATCAGGACCCCAGACCTTGGGCTCCCTAGCTTGCCCAGGCCTCCTGCTTCAGTTGGTGGCACAGGGATGCCTGTTGTCCCTGGGAGCCAGAATGAGTTCCTGGGAGGGGAGGACAGCCAGAGCCCGCCACCCCCTCCGTGGGGGGAGAGGACCGATGAAGTTTCTGAGGGTGATGAGGCCTTAGGCCACAGAGAATCCCCTCTGCCCCAAAGACTCCGCCCCACACTGCCCGCCTTGTCCTCCATCAACACCGTCCGCCCCTCTCCTAGTCCTGACATGGTGGAGCTGTGGGCAGGAGGGACTGTGTCCCAGGACCCAGCTCTGGAGGGTCGTCTGGGGCCTGTGGACAGTGAGCTGTGGCTGACCACCATCAGGATGGCTCCTCTTCTCCCCGCTCCCATAGGCACTCTGCCAGAGACCTTGGGCAGGGATGGCCCCCTGGAGCCAGGGACTCCCACCCTTTCAGCCCCAGGACCGGCTCCACGGGAGCTGCAGACGCCGGCAGTGCCGGAGACCGTCCTTCGGACAGCCTTGCCTGGCCTAGAGCAGACGCCCTGGGTGACCACCCTGAGCCCGGGACCCTCAGGCCAGCCTGAGCCCCCCAGCCGTGAGGCGCCCCCGAGTGCCATGTTGCCGTCCATGCCAGCTCCGGGCAGTCCTGCCAGCAGCAGCAGAGCCCCTGTGGCCCAGCCCCTGTACCCCCGCCCGGCTGAGGAGGGGCCCCCTGCGGACCTGCCGGCTGCCAAGAATGCCAGCTGGGAAGTAGGGAACTGGAGCGAGGTAAGTGGTGCGGGCATCTGGGTGTGTGGCAGTGTGAGCAGCACCTCGTGACTCAGTTTCCTCATGTGGAAGTGAGCAGGACACGAGCCCTGTCACCTGCCTCCAGGGGTGCAGAGATTCCTGAGATGAGAGAACCAACAGACAGTGGTGGGTGGAGGCTCTGAAACGTGGGTGAAGTGTTGCCCTGGCTCAGTCAAGTCCTAAAAATGATCAGGCCCAGAGGCCCAGTATACTGCCCTGTCAGGCCTCCGTTACTCATCTGAGCAGTGGGGGAGGGTGAGGCAGCCCACCTGCCTCTATCCTGAGCGCAGGCACATGTGAGGGACAGCCAGGAGGAGCAGAGGCAAAGCCTTTAATATGAGTCCCCCAGGGCCAGCTAGCAAGACTGCCCCCTCTGATGGGAGGCCTGAGGCGCCCTTCTCCTTACACACTAGCTTGCACTTCCCGGAGTTGGGGAGCTCACCCAGACAGCTTTGTTTGTGGGAGAGGCCTCCTCCCCTGGCCTGGTCGCAGCCATGCCCTCAGGGCCTGTGAAGCCAGGCTGCCTGGTGAGCTCCCCATTCCTTGGAGCTGCCCAACCCCAGCAGGCTTCCCTAAGGCTCAGCCTGGCTCCTCCAGATGCTACTCTCGACTGTTCCATCTCACTGTCCCCTCAATGGCTCCACCTGCTTTGTCAGGGGCCTGCCAAGGGGTCTGTGCCTCACCCCAGTTAACCAGTTGCCATCGAGTTGTCCCTGACTCATGGTGACCTCACATGTGTCAGAATAGAACTGTGCTCCTTAGGGTTTTCAGTGGCTGATTTTTCAGAATTAGATTGCCAGGCCTTTCTTCCAATGTGCCTCTGGGTGGACTTGAACATTCAGTCTTTCTATTAGCAGCTGAGTGTGTTAACCATTTGCCCCACTCAGTGACTCCACAGGCCCCACCCCAGGCCCCCAGATTGTCACTGAGTGAGCTCTTCCTGTTCAGATCCTAATTTGGGGGTGGGGAGGAGCAGGCTGAGGCCCAGAGTGGGTAGGTTTTGCCCATGGTTGCCCAGCAGTTTGGCCTCTGGGACTAGAGCCCAGGCTTCCTTCCCAAGGTATTCTGAGAAGCAGTGAGCCTCATCAGGCTCCCTTCACCCTGTGACAAGGAATACTTGGTTGCTGAGGAGGGGTTGACTTTTCATCCTAATGGTCTCCCTGGGAGTTGGGTGGGGGAGCCCATTTTGCAGATAAGGAAACTGAGGGCCTGGCTTGGCCAAGGTCCCACTCATCTTGATGGGGTGGTCTCCTGGCTGCAGGGGGCTGGAGGGAGCAAGGATCTGCCTGGTCCTTACAGGCCTCTGTTCCTTCCCTCCCCCTCAGTGCTCTACCACCTGTGGCCTGGGTGCCGTCTGGAGGCCTGTGCGCTGCAGCTCTGGCCAGGAGGAGGACTGCGCCCCCGCTGGCCGGCCCCAGCCTGCCCGCCGCTGCCACCTGCGGCCCTGTGCCACCTGGCACACCGGCAACTGGAGTAAGGTGTGGGACACGACCAGCTGAGGTGGGGGACAGAAGTGAGGACACAGCCAAGGCAGGCAGCCTGGGGGCACACGGGGTGCAGCCCTGGGGCCTCGGTGGCTGGCCCTCTGTTCCGGGATCAGCAGCAGCCCCCAGTGAGGGCAGAGGAGGGCACCACACTGCACCTTTTTGTACTTTATTGTTTAACTGCTAATCTCCTTTGAGTCTTTGAATCTCTATTTCTTTGGTTTGACTGTTCCAAGCCCCGTCTCCGGTTGGCTGTATCCTCTTCTCCATACCTTCCAGCCCCCTCTGGGTTTCACGCTCACTGGCTCACCTTCGTCCCTCTCTTTCCATTCTGTCCCATCCTGTGGCAGCCCTGGCAATACTGCTCTGCTGTCTGGGCCAGCCCTGGTCTCTTCTTGGGCTCTTTAGGGCTTTGCCCCAGGCATCCAAAAGGTTGGCATTTCGAACCCACCCAATGGCTCTGTGGAAGAAAGGCCTGGCAATCTGCTCCCATAAAGATTACAGGCAAGAAAACCCTATGGAGCAGTTCTACTCTGTAACACATGGGGTTGCCAGGAGTCAGAATCGACTCAACAACAATGGGTTTCCAGGGGGTGGCCCAGTGCCTGCTCTGCCACATCCGTCCCCAGGTTGTGTGTACGTGCGTACGGGGGTGTAGTCACCTGTCTGTCCCCTGACCCCCAGTGCTCCCGCAACTGTGGTGGAGGTGCCTCAGTGCGGGACGTGCAGTGTGTGGACACCAGGGACCTCCGGCCGCTGCGGCCCTTCCACTGCCAGCCAGGGCCTGCCAAGCCACATGATCGACGACCCTGCGGGGCCCAGCCCTGCCTCAGCTGGTACATCTCTTCCTGGAGGGAGGTGAGGCCTGGAGGTCCAGGATCCGGTGGGAGGCGTCCGCGGACCCTGGCCACGTCCTGACCCTTCCCTGCCCCCCAGTGCTCCGAGGCCTGTGGGGGTGGCGAGCAGCAGCGTCTGGTGACCTGCCCGGAGCCGGGCCTCTGCGAGGAGGCTCTGAGACCCAACACCACTCGTCCCTGCAACACCCACCCCTGCACGCAGTGGGTGGTGGGGCCCTGGGGCCAGGTGAGCCGAGGACTGGGGGCAGGTGCTCAGTGGGCACTGGAGGGAGGTTGTTTGTTTATTGAACAATGAGTTGTCAAGTGTGCAACGTGCACCAGGGTGCAGATACAGTGGTGGCCAGACGAGGTCCCCACCCCGCTGGAACGTACAGCCTGCCAGGGAGAAACAGACTAAAAAAAGAAGTGGACTCACCACAGGCTGTGACATGTGCTTCTCTGGCAGGGAAGGCCTTCTGAGGAGGGGGCTTCTGAGTTGAGGCCTGAAGGAAGAGTCAGTGCTGGGAAGGGCGGGATAAAGGAAAAGCAGCTACAAAGTCCTGAGGCAGGATGATGAACTCCAGGTGTTCAGGGAACTGAGCAAAGGCCAGTGTGTCAGAGGAGGTGGGAGAGGGGCCAGCAAGGCCTTGAGTGAGGGTGATCATGGGGTGGGCAGGACACCTTCTTGCCAGGTCTGTGCCCCCCACGGCCACTTCCAGGCCTGTTTGGGGCCAAGAGGATCTCAGATTTGTGTGCTGAGCCGGGCCCTGGAGTCCTTGTCTCACTGGTTGGCTGAGTGACTCTGGGTAGGTTGCTTTGCCTTGCCAGGCCTTTGTTTTCTCATCTGTGAAATGGGGACAGCTGGTGTGGGGAGCCTCTGAGAACTAAATGAAGTAACACAACAAAGCACTTAGCACAGGGCCTGGCACATGGGTGGCAGATGCTGGCACACGTTAAGCTTCGTTTTAGGCTTAAACATCAGAGTTCAATGAGAACAAAGCTTGACTCAGGATGGCCGGCCCTGAGTGGGAAGCTTCCTGCCTCCTCCCTTCCACAGCTCATCCACCTCAGCAGGGCCTCATGTGGCCACCCAGGCACGGCAGTGCCTGTCCGCATCTCTGTGTCAAGGTTCTGTCATGGAGCCCTCTGTGCGGGGCTGGCAGCTCTGTACCCCAACCCAACTCCTGTGGCCTGGAGGGCTCTCTTTGGCTCTCAGAGCTGCCGCACCGCCCCCCTCTGGAATGCCCTCCACCGTCCCACCCCCTGCAGGTGCAAATCCTGCCATCCAAGCCCCAAGTGGACTCTGGGAATGGGGCTGGCTGGGGCTTGCCTGAGGGAGCAGCCCCTCCGAGCATGCTCTAGGGAGTGAGAGGGCAGCAGGAAGTCTTCTTAGAGGCGGTGGCAGCCGTGGCAGCAGCCCCCAGGGTGCCCCACCAATCTCTGGGAGGCCTGGCTGAGGTGGAGTCCTGACCCCTCCCCAATCCCGCAGTGCTCAGCCCCCTGTGGTGGTGGTGTCCAGCGACGCCTGGTCAAGTGTGTCAACACCCAGACGGGGCTGCCCGAGGAAGACAGCGACCAGTGTGACCACGAGGCCTGGCCGGAGAGTTCCCGGCCGTGCGGCACCCAGGACTGTGAGCCTGCCGAGCCCGTGCGTGAGTGCTCCCCACCCCTGCTCTCTGCTGGCATATGGGGTGTGGGAGGACGGCAGGGAAGTGGGGGTCAACAAATTACCGCCCCCCTCAGCACTGGCCGGCCCCATCTGTGGTCTGGGCTTGGGGGCCACGTGCCACGCAGATGCTAGGGCTGTGCTGGGAATTGGGGCCAGTGGGGTCCCAGCCACACAGGCACCTGGAGGCAGCTCTCCCTGGCCTCCGGGGAAGAGTGGAGGGAGCTGGGGAGGTGGAGCGGCCTCGGCCCCTAAGTTGCTATGTGACCTCGGGCACAAGTTCTTTTTTCCTCTGGGCCTTGGTTATTCCTCATAGCAAGGCGAAGGATGGTCCGAGGCCGTGTGAAGGCTGAGCCTGGGTGGGCCCCCACCCCCAGCTCTGGCTTGTCCATTCCCTGGCCAAAGGGGGCTGCCCAGGGTGAGCAGTGGAGCCACAGGATGGGGCCTCCCTCCCAGGGCCCTGCAGGTCCCGGTGGCTTCCTGGTCAGCTGAGCCCTCCTGATGGAAGGGCCTGAGCCAGAGGTGGCTCTGGACACATGCACAGACACACACAGACACACACAGACACACACACACAGACACACACACACACAGACACACACATACACACACACTTCCTTCCTGCAGCCCAAGCCTCCCCAGCAGTGCTGAGCTCAGGGATCAGCGTGGCCCTGAACTCACACCTGGACCCCCTCACCAGCTGTGCGGTCTCAGCTTCCACTTCCTTTTGCTTAAAGGAGCTGACCCTCCATCCTTGGGGTGGTGGTGGGGACAGCATAGCGAGGCCTTGGGTGAGGGGCCCAGCACCACCTCTCCCAGCTTGGCCCCCAGGGCACAGCCGAGGGAAGCAGAGGCTCAGCACTGTGCCCTGAACTCAGCGGCTCTGGTCCTCCTCACTGCCCCACCCCTAGGGCAGTCCGTGGCCCTCAGTCTGGTGTTCAGGGCCTCTAGGATCTGCCCAGTTTTCTTTGTCCCCCTTGCCCAACATGGCTGTCTTTACTGGCCACTGGCTCCTTGGCAGTCCTCACTCAGGCCTCGAGTGGCACTGCCTTGTACCCCTGCTTCCGGCTGGGGTACCTTTCTGCCTCCAATCCCCACCCCTCAGGGCCCAGTGTAGATGCCACCAGCCCTGAGCCGGCCTGCCCTGCCCTCATCATTCATTCAACACGCACCTAGGAGCACTTCCTGCCACTGCCCCGAGCACTTGCCTGTCAGGGCTCTGAGGGGACCGCCTGGGAGCTGAGAGAGAGATCAGGAACTGAGGCTCTTGGGCCCTTGTGGACAGGCCTGGACCCCAAGTTCTCCTGGGATGGAGGTGGGCTAGCGGGAGGGGGCTGTGGTGGAGTGGTCAGGTGGCTGGACTGTAAACGGTCCCACGTGAGGAATCTTCTGCCACCTGCGAAGGGTAAAGGGGCAGCTGGGAGAGGGCCCTGAGACTCCAGAACTTCCAGGATGTTTTGATGGCTGTGTGTACTGCAGCATTTGGAAAGCCTGGAAACTCCAGTGTGTGGTCACCGGTGAGGCAGCTGACAGCATCACCACATCCGTTCGCCTTTGGAGGTTATTTACGGAGGAGGGAACCAAGGCCCGAGGGGCTAGGAAGCTTGTTCGAGGTCACACAGCAGGGCTAGGATGCAAATCTACTAGCTGAAGCTGCCTCTGGGGCTGGGGTGGGAGGCGCCCTCAGAGAGCAAAACTGTGACTCGAGACCTGCCTGCTGCCTCGTGCTCTCTGCTGGCCCCTGGAGATGTCCTGGGCCCGCTGCCCTCCTGCTGCTCCTCTAGAGGTCTGGCTGCAGTGAGCCGGCACCAGCGGCAGCTGGGGGCTGTCAGCAGCAGCAGGAGCAAAGCCAGCAGGCTGGAAGCAAGCCACTTCCCAAAAATAGCTCTGATAACCACAGGGCAGGAGGGCCCGGCCAAGCCTCAGTTGGACAAGCACAGCCTGCAGCCTTCCTCCCATCCCCCCAGCACGGGCTTGGTTCCTGCCAGGGCGTCGCTCGCTCTCTGGGCCTCAGTGCCCAGCTGAGAAGTGAGGGAGGGGAGCTGGCCTGGCTGATGGGACTCTGTTCTGGTCTGTGACCTGGAAAAAGCTGAGGCCCACATGGGTGGAGGGGGTCAGCGAGGTCTGGCAGGACAGGTGTACTCGGGCAGGGGGGAGGTGGCAGAGGTGGGGGCAGAGCTGTCACAGGCTGGCAGGGACCTGAGTTGTGTGCCAGGACCATGAGGGAGCGCTCCAAGGGTGAGCAGAGCTGAGTGGGGCCACCGTCCAGGGCAGGTTCTTTGGCGTCTCATAGGCACCTGAGGTGGTCAGGAGTTGGGTCTCAGGGCCTTTCCTCTAGAACCTTAGCTGTGCAGTGCAGCTCCAGAGTCCTGGTGGGCCCACGTCAAGGGTGGTGGGGCAGGGCTGCGACGGCTCCCTCCAGACACTGGGAGTCCCACGCCCTGGGGGTGGCTGCCGCAGTTTCCGTAAGGCTGTTGGGGGACTAGGCAGGATGACACAGGTAAAAGCGTAGGGAAGCCCCTGCACCCCAGGGCGCAGGGGGTGGGTGAGGAGTGGGCTAAGGGTGCTGCACAGGCTGGCCACTCCCGCCCACCTGTCCTGACTTGCCCCTGCCCCCAGGCTGTGAGCGGGATCGCCTGTCCTTCGGTTTCTGCGAGACGCTGCGCCTGCTTGGCCGCTGCCAGCTGCCCACCGTCCGTGCCCAGTGCTGCCGCTCCTGCCCCCCGCCCGGCCGCGGTGCCCCCTCCCGTGGCCATCAGCGGGTCGCCCGCCGCTGACCCACACCCCGGCCTGTGACCGGGCTGGGACACACAGACCGACCGACGCACGGACCTCAGCGCCCCAGCACGGGCTTCGGTGAAGCCCCACCCTCGCGCCCTAATGGTGCTAACCCTGGCCTCCCTGCCCAGGCGCAGGCTGGGGGCCCCATCCCCCTCAGAAAAGGTATTTTTTTTTAACAGTTTGAGTAACACTTATTATAATAATAATAATAATGCATAAACGAGCATCTACTGGTCCAAACCACAGCCTGGTTCATCTTGTATTTGGGGAATTTCGAGTGAGGAACTCCTTCCACCACTCGTCCATCCACTGCCTGAAATTCCACCACGAGAGGGCCTCAGCAGCCCTGTCTTTTACTTGCTCCTCTGAGGGCAGATTAGCAGGGGTGACAGCAGCAAACTAATCCACCCAAAGAGAATGGAGCCTCATAAAGGCATGGAAGGCTAGGGGAATCAGACGTGAAGGATGGCTTCCTGGAGGAAGTGCTATCTGCAGGGTCTCAAAGAATTAGATGATGGGGGGCAGGTTTTCTGGGTGGGGGTACAGCTTGGCACAGTCCCGGTGGTGGTGGTCTCTGCTCACACTCCTCCCACAGCCTATACATCATGTGTCACCCTGCTCAGCCCCCCTAGCCCCTCCCCACACTCCTCCACTCTGAGCTCCTCAGGGATTGAGCCCTCTCCCCAGCCCCCAAGCAACAAGGCCTGTTGCTCATCACCAGCTGGGACTGCCCCCCTGGGGGGGGGGTGATGGGTTCTGGGACTTCCTGGTCCTCTCTGCTGCATCCATACCAAGGGAGCAGAGGGGGGCACCATCTGAGCATGTTCACCTCTGGGGACCTCCTCGGGGGTAACGGGTGGAGGAAGGGACAGGCTGATCAGCCACACTCTTGGTTTCCACTTATCCCTTTCCTTCATCTCCATGCTCAGGGACAGGACTGAGCTGGTCTCAGCTAGGATTCCTGGTGGCCCCTTCCTCACTTCCAACCTCAGGTGTCAGCCTTCTGCTACATTGGGCTAGGACTCATGAGCACCATGGGCCAGCTGCCTGGCACCTGCCCACCCACAGCCCCTTCCCCACCTGCAAAATCTAGTCCCGTGGAGCCAGATCTTGGGGCACACTCCAGCCTGAAGGCCCAGATGAGAAAACTGAACGGCCTGTAAGGTCTGCAGGCCTGTCCTTAACAGACCTGCCCCACACGAGTTGGGGAGTGCCAACAGTGGTCATGCCTTCAGCAGCTCCTGGGGCAAGGGTTGGTCTAATCCCGGCACAGAGCCTGGTTGCTTGGGCCCCCTGGTCCTCATCTGTCCAGTGGGCACGGGGTTGCCTGCATTGCTTGATGGGGCTTTTGTGCTGAGGGTTCAGAAAGGAGCCTGGGCTGATCAGGAGGCAGGGAGCATGGGGGATGTCTGCAGCCCATTCTGCCCCCAGGTTGCCAGGGAGCAGTCATGAAGGCGCTTCAGGTGTTTTGAGCCCTGTCTCTGCGGATGGTGGGGGGTCTGGTGTGGCACGCCCCCAACACCCACCAGCCCCAGGCGATTGGCCAGGCTGGGATAAGGAGGCTGGGGAAGGGGCTGGACACTGTCCTCTTCCCAGCCCAGCCACTGCCTCAGGAAGTGGCCCTTGCCTAGTCAGGCCTGTAGCCACCCCTTAACCTCTCTGGCTGTGAGCCTTGGACTCCAGATCTTTTACATCCTCTTCACAAGTCCTGCTTCTGGAAAGTATTACTCCTCTTCTCCAAGCAGGAAAGACAGGTTCAGAGAGGTCCAGAGTCAGCTCCAGGGGACACCAAGTGCATTCTATTCCCTGGTGCAGGCCAATCACAGAACATAACGTAGATGGTGGCCCTGGGTCTGTGCATATGGTGGCCTGAGGACACAGGCCCTGGGCCCTGTGGCCAGCACTGAGGGTCGGGTACGTGTGCAGGGGGAGACACTGAAGATCACTCCTTGGGGATTGAGACCAAGAAACAGTATCAGAGGCTAAACCAATCAGCAACCAGTCTGTCCCAACCTGCCCCTTCATGGAGGGATGGCAGGGGGTGGAAGCAGGAGGCAGCTGCCCACCAGGGTAATGGGGGTGCTGGTGTGCCCAGCCAGCCACTCTTCACTTCTGGGTCATACTTTATTTAACCATCAGGATGCTCCCTTTTCAGATGAGAAGCCTGAGGTTCTGAGAGGGAAGTGACTGCCCAAGGGCATACGCCCTGTGACAGAGGCCCAAACTAGGCCGTGAGCCCTGTCTCCTGCCTGTGAGCTCTGGGCCACACTCAGCAGCCGACCCCTCTCACCAGGCAGGAGGATGGCCCGGAGCAGGCATCCCAGATGGATTTAGAGGGCCGTCTTTGTCAGAGGTCAGTCAGGCTTGCGTGATCCCAAACATCACCAACTACACTATCGTCTGAGGGTGGAGGAGCGTCAGACTTGCTTCCTGTCTGTGTTTGTAGCAGCCTGGCTGACCCAAGGAAGCCCTGGGGACCCACCTCTGAGTAATGGCTTCCCAGGGCTTGGCCAAAACTGCCCGTGGTGGCAACCCCCTTATCAGGGACAGGGAGCAGAGCTCCAGCTCCTGCTGCTCAGTGTGTGGGTGAGGAGCTACTGCAGGGCAGAGCTCTGGGGTCCCGTCCCAGCTCTGCCACTGCTGTGCTGTGTGACCCCAGGAACCCCTAGCCACACCAAATCCGTGTCCCCAGAGGAGAGAGAGGCTCCAACTGTCCTGGAATCTGCCTTCCCTCCCACTCCTGTGGAAAGACATTTGGTCTTAATCATTCTCATGTTTTTCCGATGATGGCGGGGGCGGGGAGGGCCTGTTATCCTGAGTGGCAGCTGGGCTTGAGCTGTCAGCCCAGGCAGGAGGCAAACAAGCCCATGACTCAGGCAGGGCACATCGCAGCTGGTGGCAGGAGGGGTGCCTATCACCCTGTGGCCTGCTCATCCTGAGCAAGCCAAGGGCAGGGACAGCCAGAAACGCCAGGCCGGCAGGTCGGAAAGGTGCCCCATCTACCCTGCCTGGCCCTCCCAGGCCCAGGGGCTGAGCCCCATCACAAGTGACTACAATTGCATTTCAAGCCAGGATGTTATACAAATTAGTAGTTTATTTCTTCCTTTAGTCTTACAATTCTAAAAGATCAGCACAGAAGCTGCTGCAGTATAAAAGAGTCCCTTGGCAGTCCTTCTGTGAGCGGGAACGCGCAGGGGCAGGCGTGCGGTGCTGAGTCCTACCTCCCTACAAGGACTTCCCCAGGCAGGCCCAGCTGCCCCGGAGTCCGGTCACGTGCAGGAAGACAACACTGCACAAAGCGTGGGACTGGGATTTGTGCAATAACAAACATTTAGCTTTTTAAAAAACTGGGAATGTTTGCCTAGAATACTTCCTATATGATATAATGCAGTTGAGACCAGAGTCATTTCCAGCAATCAACCATCTTGGCTGCTATGGTACAGCTGTCAGCAAGACTACAAGTAGCACCGAGGCTACCTGGGGTAAGACAGGGCTCATGCATAAGTGAAAGCTGGTGATGGTCGAGGCTAGAAGTGAAAGACGGCACGGAAGTGCAGAGCCACTCAAGTTCACATTTGCATAAATACACACAAGGTCATGCACACAAAACAAGAACTTGTTATGTGAAGGAAATGTACATAATCTAGAAAAACCTTGATAAAATAGCCTACAAAAATATAAACTGTAGTGAAAATATACAAAAGTATTAACAGATGTTCTACCCATAAAAAAACCAAAACCCATCTACTTATAAGCTGGCAATGGCCACACGGCTGCCCTGGGCCCTGGCAGGGGCGGTAGGCATGCAGGCTGCCCTGTGTGGGGCTCCTAGCCTCAACCGGTGAGGCCCACCCTGCGGGAGTGATGGGCCGGTGTTCACCAAAGGTTTGGAGGAGCAGCAGCTGCGGCAGCACCGGTCAGGAGGGGCGCACACCGGGGAGCCGGTGGAGGCTTGGGATCTCAGGGGCACTGGAGGATGTAGAGCAACTGTCTTCCCAGAGGCTCAAGGGAAGAAGTGTTGGCTCAAACTAGTGGAGACAGACCCTATAGCTCTGGAGGGAAAAGTCAGCCCCAGCCTGTCCCCAAACAGGAACCAGCACTCTACCCTAGGGAGGAGGATCTCCAACAAAGGTCCTCAGTCTGTTTCCGAGGCCCCCTCTCTGCTCTCTCATGCCCACCGCCTGGCCGCTGATAATAACTGCCCTGGAAATACTGACACATGGCTGTCACTGAGGATGACGGAAACCAGGGGGTCCAGCCACACAGGGCAGGCCCCCGTTCCTAAAGGAGCATTTTAACCCCTGGGCTGGGATGTTCCAGGGGAGAAATCAACTGGGAAACCAAAAGCGGAGGGAAGCTGGAGCTGATGCAGGGGTCCTAGCAGCCTGGATGAAGTCCCACAGGGCCTCTGTGAGCAACTATGAGACTGCAGTGCCTGCCTCGGGAGCAACCCCACACATAAGGCCACTGCTTCTAAGACATCAGATCTCAAACAGCCATTCCCCAAAACAAAAAAGTTATAAAACACACTTGATACCTGAAAAGAGACAAAGGCTTTTGGCTATATATTTAGACGAGTTCCCTCTACACAGTCATAAGTCAAAGTAACCAACTTAATTAAAAACAGAAAAGTTGAGCTCAGTCTAGTATGTTCAATACCAACTTAGCCATCATACTGCTGGAAGGTTGACAGTAAAAAATAATAGAAAAACCATACTTATGGGGGAAAAAAAAGCACTTCTTGAAATGACATTGCTTCAATTCTGAGTGTGCTTAATATATATCAACTAAGGATTATTTCCAATTTTTTCCAGGTAGTGTAAGGAATTCCATTTAAAACTGTTTCTCTTATAGTCAAATAACACTGCCAGAAAACACCATCTACTCATCAGGTGTGGTCCACAGAGTGACTGAGCAAAAATAACTTTCCTTGCTCAAGGCCTCTCTCCAGGGCTTCAAAAAGGAAGTGCTCTGAGAGTCCCCAGACACTACCTGGGCAGCCTGATAGGCTGGAGGTGACTTTAACCCCACAAGTGAAGACTGTGCTTGGCCAGGGGACAGCAATGCTGCTTCTGGGTGGCCGTGAGGAAGGGATATGTCTGAGGCTCACCAACGCCTTGGCCCCAAGGGAAGGCACCTACAGCCGGCTTCCTCCCCGTCCCCTCAGTCCCAGCCAGGTGAAGGAGACACCACAAGCACCGGCCTTACCAAGCAGCTGCACAACGGCCTGCAAACAGCCCCGGAAAAGCTTCCTCCGCCCCCCAACCAAGGCCAGCCCAGGGCTGGGCCTGCCTTGCAGTGTGATGATCCACAGTGGACTGAAGGGAAATCCCACCCATATTTGAAGAATGACTTCTGAGTCAATCCTCGGGTGGAAAGAAGAGCTTTCCACAGAACCTCATGGAGACCTGCCAGCCAGAGGGCAAGCTGGGGGCAGAAGAGCTGACCTCGCGCAAACACCGCCTGGTGGTGAAAAGTCAGAGCGGCGAGTCGGGAGGGTCGGGCCTCCCCAAGCAGGCTGGGAGTCACGTTTTGAAAGGCTGTGCACGAAAGGACAAAGGAATTCCAGAACCGGGGCGTAGCTGGCGGCTTGCAGCCCCAGCAGAAGGTTCGTGGGTTTATACTTAGGCCGTTTCTGAACAAGGGATGTGCTTCCACCTGAAGCAGCCACACTCTGGCCACGGAGGTCTGAACACAGCGGGCATCCTATGCAGAACATTTAAAAAAGGCACGTGGCTGCCCACTGCATACAAGAGAAAGAACACAGGGACATGCCCGGCTACATAAGGTTTTCTAAGGTTGAAAACACCAGCACAACTGATAGATGCTGCAAACGGGCTCTTGAAAATAACCGACCGGTAAGCCTGCTGGTTCACCAATCACTGGGAAATCGTGACCGTGATGTGTATCCCAACAGCATGGCGTGAAGATGGCTGTAAACAGGTTTGCTCCCCGCCCCAAGTGGAAAAGGAGAAAGTGCGGTGTGGCTTTGGACATCCGCCCAGCGGATTTCCAGAGACCACAGTGTTACATTCTGGCTTAAGCGAGCAGAGACATCTCTGCGGTCACCCTTTTGGCACACTTTGGTTGTGAAGACAAGAAAAGCAGCATCTTGGTGGGGGAGGGGTCCACTCAAGTGTCCTCTTCCTCGTCGCTGACCAGCTCACCCTTGTCAGGGCTGGTGTCCCGTTCACGCAGGAAATCCTCGCGGATGGCCTCCAGCTCCGTCAGCTCCAGCCGGACCTTCTCCAAGTGGTAGGTGCGCCGGTTCCGGATCTGGCGCAGGGGGAATGGGTTCAGGTCTCCAAAGGAGATGCTGATGAGCTTCCTGGCGGAAGGCAGGACAGAGAGCATAAGCAGAGCTTGGGGAGGGCTCCCACATAGCTCTCACTTCTCAAGTTAGCACAGCCCACGGCCCCTGGGGGTGTGAAGAGGAAGACTCCGGACCCTACAGCTGCCAGGAAGCGCTTGTTAGGGGCCACGTGCTGCGCCGAGGGCAGTCTACCGCACACAGACAGGCAACGAGGGACAGCAGCCAAGGGGAGGCTTTCAGTTACTGCCTGGACTCACTCTAGTTCTAACCCATACTTGCTGTGTGACGTTGGGCAAGTTAAGTTACAGAACCTTTTCTGGCCTCAGATTTCTCAGCTGCGCAATGAGGATAATAACAGTGCCACCACATAGGGTGGGGGGGTTACCTGAGCTAACATATGCAAAGACCTTACAGAAGTGTCTGCTGCTTGCTCAGTGACAGGCAGGGGCTGAGGCATCTCTGACTCCTGGGGACCAGCACAAGGCCTGGCACAGAGGAGGTGTTGAAGGAGATGCTGCCACAGGACTGACTGAACAGGGAGGAGCCAATGCTCCAGCAAACCTGGTAATAACTGTCAGACTCGTCGGCAGCATGACAAGTGTCAGTCTGCAGAGCACTGTCACGTTTTGTGGGTTTTCACTTTATCCCCAGGTCAAGTCACCAATCTATAACAACATGGGAGAAATCACACTAACTTGCTCCCAACCACTGGCCAATGTTTAATGAAAACAGAACCTGAAACTCTTCTCAGTGGTGGATTTCCAGAACTAACCAGGTCAGCCACACTGGTCTCTGGATGGTCACAACGGAAACGGGCTCCTCCAACACTGAGGAGGGAGGCCAGGTTCCCTCCTCTCCCCCCGTCCAGATTCTGCCTGGACCCAAAGAGTTCACTTCCCAACAGCAGGCTCATTCACTTCCTGTCACCCTAAGTCCCAATAAACTCACAAACCACAGGACAGCTGTGATGAAACAGAAATGTCACAAGGAACTTCCTTGTGGTCTCTGTCAGAAAATAAGCTGTTTTCTCCTGCTACTATTCAATTACGTTGAAGCAGCCAAAGGCGTATACACAATTAAGAATACATAGCCCTTTAGTATTTTTTCCTTGTATATTCTAAAACACTGACTGCTTAGATATATCTTACTTCCAGCCAGAGGATTCTTCTGAAAGGAGGTGAAAGGTCAGAAAGGCCTGCTGTAAATGCCCAGTTCCACAGAGAATGTGCTAGAACACATGAGCACAGCATTAATCCAAAAAACACAAAATAATAAATGCTGGAGAGGTTGTGGAGAGACTGGAACACTTATACACTGTTGGTGGGAATGTAAAATGGCACAACTACTTTGGAAATCGATTTGGCGCTTCCTTAAAAAGCTAGAAATAGAAGTACCACACGATCCAGCTATCCTGCTCCTTGGAATATATCCTAGAGAAATAAGAGCCATCACACGAATACATATATGCACACCCATGTTCACTGTAGCACTGTTCACAATAGCAAATAAGATGGAAACAACCTAAGTGCCCATCAACAGACGAATGGATAAACAAATTATGATATATCCACACAATGGAATACGATGCAATGATAAAGAACAACGATGAAGCCATGAAACATCCTATAACATGGAAGAAGCTGGAGGTCATTATGCTGAGTGAATTTAGTCAGTCACAGAAGGAGAAATGTTGTATAAGACCACTATTATAAGAACTCAAGAAAAGGTTTAAACACAGAAGAAAACATTCTTTAATGGTTACAAGGGTGGGGAGGGAAGGAGAGGGTTATTTACTAACTAGATAGTAGATAAGAATTATCAGTGAAGGGAAGGACAGCACACACTACAGGGGAAGTCAGCACAACTGGACTAAACCAAAGCTAAGAAGTTTCCTGAATACAATCAAACACTTTGACGGACAGAGTAGCAGGGGTAGGGGTCTGGGGACCATGCTTTCAGGGGCTATCTAGGTCAATCGGCATAACAAAACTTATTAAGAAAATGTTCTGCATCCTACTTTGGTGAGTGGCGTCTGGGGTCTTAAAAGCTTGCAAGCAGCCATCTAAGATGCATCCATTGGTCCCAACCACCTGGAGTAAAGGAGAATGAAGAACACCAAAGACACAAGGAAAGCATTAGCCCAAGAGACAAAAACGGCCACATAAACCAGAGACTTCATCAGCCTGAGACCAGAAGAACTAGATGGTGCCCAGCTACCACCAATGACTGCCCTGACAGGGAACACAATAGAGTCCCTGATGGAGCAGGAGAAAGGTGGGGTGCAGAACCCAAATTCTAGTAAGAAGACCAGACTTAATGGTCTGACTGAGACTGGAGGAACCCTGGAAAGCATGGCTCCTGGATTCTCTATCAGCCCAGAACTAAAATAATTTCCAAGGACAACTCTTCAGACAGGGATGGGACTGGACTGTGGGACATAAAGTGATACTCGTGAGGAGTGTGCCTCTTAGCTCAAGTAGATACAAGAGACTAAACTGGCAGCTTCTGTTCAGAGGTGAGATGGGAAGGCAGAGAAGGTTAGGAGCTGCTTGAATGGACATGGGGAATTGGGTGGAAAGGAGGAGTGTGCTGTCACAGTATGGGGAGAGCAATTAGGGTCCCATAACAACGTACGCATAAATTTTTGTATGGGGAAAAAAAAACACATGAGCACCCGAGACAGGAGCGGCTTGAACACAGCGAGGTACTGAACGTGGACTTCGGTGCTCAGCTCTGCTGACCTGGCTGCAGGAAGAACAGTGTGAAGTGAAATGCTGGCAGGGCCATGAGCCAGGAGCTCACACAACTAGCCCTTTCTCTCCTATAGCTACCAGCCCACAGGCTCAACAAAGCTGACCCCTATAATGTCCACCCCCTTCTTTGCTACAGTAAACTAATACTGGCAGTTCAAAGTTAAATCAGTATTTGTCATTTACTCATTCAGTTGGTCAATGCCGATTGAGGCCTACTAGCCCAGGCTGGGGACACAAGGGGAAATTGGACACTGCCTCTGCCCCAAGCCTGGAAGGTCCAGTGAAGAGAAAAGACAATGCTCAGTGCCTTAAAGGCTCCCAGAAGTCCTGCTGCAAAGAAGCAGGTTTAATCTTGTTTAATCCAACCTCCCCTGAACTTAACATACTACATGCAGACCAGCGTTACTTGGAACCACCAGTCCAGGAGTGGGGCCAGGGCATCTGTGTTCTTTCTTTTTTCCAATCATTTGTTGTTGAAAATATACATAGCAGAACATATGCCAAAGCAAAAATTCCTACCTGTACAATTCAGCGACATTGATTATATTCTTCAAGTTATGCAACCATTTTCACCCTCCTTTTCCAAATTGTTCCACCCTCATTAACAGAAACCCACTGCCCCCTAAGCTTCCTATCTAACCTGTACCCACATTCTTAATGACATCCCTGGTGATCCTGCCAGCCAGCCTGGTACTAGTTAATACACTGGGAACCCTGGTCCAGTGGACCTTTACTTTCTGAAGCAAACTGGTGGAGCAAGCGCACCCAGAGCTGCTCACAAGGTGGCGCTGCAGGACCATCAAGGCTGCCGGCACTGCTCAGCAACTGGAAGGAGGCGGCTGGCTGGGTGGGCTCTTGCCAAGCCCGCTCCCATCTGTGTCTCGCTGGCAGCTCTGACAACCTCGGACAACCAACAGCGCACAGCTGTCAGGGGCAGCACAGGATCAGTGCTTGGAACCAAATGCTCTGAACACAGCATTAGTTTTTGGCGTGAGAGAATTCATTCAATGTCATTCGTAGTAATCCTGACCCAATGTAAAATCAACAAAAACTCTTAGGGCTCCTCCCTGGACACAGAATAAATCTTTCATGGGCAAATAATATTCTCAGATATCTTTTTTAATTTGGCAAGAATTAGGTCACTGTTGCTGGTGTATTAATAAGCCTGAAAATATCTTAAAAACCCACTCCCCAATAAAAGATCCTAAAATTAATGACTTCTAGGAAACCAGGTGTGACCTTGGCCAGCACTTTCTGCTCCCAGTGTCCACTTCTCCAGCGCCTGTGGCCTCACTCAATACAGTCACAAGGTGTAGCGTCTCAACCTGGTCATACCCCCACGGCTCCAGCCCCGGCCACTCTCCTGCCCTGACATTCCCACAGCGCCCACTGCCCTGCAGCTCCTCTGGCTGACTGGTGGCCTGGTCCCGCTGCTCCTCACCTCGTCAGCCAAGAAGAGGGCACCGTCCTGGAGGGCAGCTCCTGGGCCCTGCCTCACTGCCAGGTGTGCTTAATAGGAGCCAGCCAGTGTTGTACAAGTAGATTGTGACCCATGAGTGGATCAGGAAATCAATTTAGTGGGTCATGACGAGCATTTTAAATAAATGGTACAGAATTTAACAAAAAATATCAGCATGCACTGCATAGATCTTTAGCAAGAATTGCACACTTAAACACATCATTAGTTTTAGTTAGACACACTCTAGTATGTGTGTTCTAGGTTGTAGTCAACAAGGTTTGGAAAACACTAATAAGCCCCAAATATTTTTTAATGAAAGGACTCCAGGTACACAAATCCATTGCCGTGCAGGGACCAGCAGCCCACAGTGTCTCAACCACAGTGCATTCTACCACAACCTCAGAAGTTCAGAGTGAGGGGCTATCCTCATTTACAAACCAGCAGCAGGTCTGGAGAAATCCCTGCTGACAGCTCTCTTAGTTGTAACCCTAGAGAACGGGGCCTGACCTGCCAGGATCAGAACCACCCCCCATCTATCCCCAGCTCCTCAGCTGCCAACTGTGGTCCAGATGACAATGGACAACAAAGGCAGCCAAGAACAGGCCATAATCGTGTGGCTGGGGAGAGGGGGTAACATGGTTGCTGAACACTCAGCTGCCCAGGCCAGAAACCACGAGTCTTCCAAGTTCAAATTCTTTCTCTACACTCTCTTCAATCTGCCCCACTTCATCTCTGGGGACAGCCCTGCTCCAGGTACCACCTCTCTCCCTTGGACCCTCTAACAGTCATTCCCCCTTCATCTTCCAGCTGCCAGTCCTGCCCCAAATCTGACGTGCCCTTCTCTCACCTAACCCTGCGGTGACTTCCCAACACTCTTAGGTCAAAGTACACAGTTCTGAACGTGGTCTACAGTCTACAGCCCAGCTCTGCCACACCCCCAGCCTCAATCCTAGCACTCTCCTCACCCTCTAGCCACACGGTGCCAGCCTGGCAGATCTACTGCTGCTGTTGTCACTGTGTACTGTCAGGTTGATTCCAACTCATAGCGACCCCATGTGACAGAGTAGAACTGCCTCATAGGGTATTCTAGGAGGTAATCCTTACGGTAAAAGACTGTCAGGTCTTTCTCCTGAAGAGCCACGGGGAGGGTTCGAACCACCAACCTTCTGGTAAGCGAACAAGCACTTAACCCCTGGACACCGGGGCTCCTTTGATCCACAGTTCCTCAAGCACACTCTGCTCTCACATCTCTATGCCGCTACGCCTGCTGCTCCCTCTGCCCAGGACACCCTCTCCTCGCTGCCCCCTTCCAGCTCCCAGCTGACCCAGCCTGCCCCCTGCCCACCATGTCCTGTGGTTTCCCCAAAATAGTACTGATCAAAACATGCTGTGATCCTTTCCCCTACAAGTTCTTCAAGGACAGGGGATGTTCCTCCTCTATTATCCCCAGTGTCCAGCCCAGGACCTGTCATATAGCAGTCACTCAATAAATGATGCTCAGATAAATAAAAAGGTGGCGTCTGGTTGTTGGGACTGATGTTTGTTAAAGGATCAAACCATCTTTTGTCTCTGTTCCTTCCTACTCTTTGGAAGACCTCCAGTGCTCACACCCCTCCCCATTTCTTTTTCTGCTCTGTCACACGCAGTACACCCAAGATGACTCTGAGTTTGAAGGCAGCAAGGACAGGTCTGTTCTCAAGGAGGCAGAGGTCAGGGCTGCTACTCACTTTGATGTCTGAGAATTCCCCCAAGGACTCACCTAGCATCTAGGATAGTGCGAGTGAAGTAACGGAGATACTTGAATATGGACATCGCGTCTTGTATTTTCAGGATCTCCTCTTCCTTGTATTTAAAAAGTGCCAGGGCAAAACGGAAAATAACCTGTGAACAGAGAGGACAATTTGTAAGCAGAGAAATACCGTGACTCCAGCACAGCCTGGGCTCTGGAGTTCCGGGTGTGCGTGCTGCCCCTGGGGCCCTGGGAATGCCAGTTAAGCAGCTCACAGGGCCCTGCTCTGGGGCAGGAACTTGACCAGAGATAAAATTTCTACCGACTGGGACAAGAACCCTTTTTTACAGAAAAATGAATTCTTGGGATTTTTCAACAACACCTCGCCGAGATCAAACCATTTCTGTACAGAGTAGACCGTTGTGGAATCCTTTATATTCAGCTAACACTTCTAGTCAGTAAAGAATAAGGAATTAGAAATGATTTTCAAATACAATCAAAATCAGAGACTTCTGACTCTGGAACTCGGAGAAAGCTGCAGAATCGATCTGCATCTCAACTAATGAACTAGAGGCCGATTATGGACTTCTAAACATGGTGAATGAGAATCAAGTGTTTACTGACTTGTTTTTGGGGTGCTGGGTTTGAGGCTAGAAAAAAAGGAATCTTGGTGGTCTTGCAGGTTCCACAGCTTTGAACAAAGGGCTTTCCCCACATCCAAGGGGCATGGGTGGCCTGCGTCCACCTGCATTTCCTTTCACAGGGTTTAACAGTCATCTTTCTGTTACCATCCTGCCGCGCGGCCCATCACTTCCACTTCTAGGACTTAACCTACAGGTGCACTCGCGCATGTGCACAAGGACATAATTATAAGGACAGTCACTGCAGCAGTTTGAAATGACAAGAGATTCAAAACAACCTAAGTGTCCATCACCACAGGACTGTTACATACCTTTCTGCTCTTTTAAACCAGAGTTTAAAAAATATGAGCCAGATGTGTACGCAGATTATATCTCCAAGATATAATAAGTTTAAAAAAATAAGTTTGGGTTAGATATACATGAAAACCCCTCAAGAAGGCTACGTAATAAATTGAGAAGTGCAACCAGGAGACTGGAGAGGGAGAAAGCGACCTTCTTCCACTGACGCCCTCAGTAGTAGGACTTGAACTTTTGTCATGGAAATATATTACCTATTCAAAAACCTTTTTAAAAAACACAGAGCCGACTGGGGTGGGTGGTCATGGGCAGCAAGGCTCTGAAGCTGGCTCCCCTGAGTTTGTCCCTCTGCTCCTCTGCTTATCAGATCTCTGGGCCACCATCTCCTCAGCCATACAATGGGAATAATACAACCACCGACAACTTACAGATGGCGAGGCTCAGACTGCAAGCCATCAAAGCGCCCAGTGCCAGGCTCAGGGCTTGGCCCGGACTAAAGGTTTTGGATTGCTGTTTCCCCAGCTCCCGCACTGCCCCCAGTGGCACACCGTGCTGGCATCTCCCTGGCACTGTGGTGGCCAGCCACTCTGCCACCACTAACGCTGCCCAGGGTCACCAAGTGTGTCTATCTGAAAACAGCCCCAGCTGGGCAAACCCACCTTTGGTCCCTCGTAAAGGAAAGAATCCCATATTTTAAAGAGGATGTCACTAACAACACTATCCACAAACACCACCAGAAACCAGTTGAACGTGATGAGGGTGTAGTCAACTTTATACTGTTCAAAGTGGGTGTGCAATCGAGGCAGTTTCTCACTCATGAGGTCTCGGAACACCCGCTGGTCCACCTGGAAAGAGAACAAAGAGGAAAGTGTATGGGGTTCACCATCACACCAGCCAGCATGAAAGGACAGCCGCTCACTCTGAGACCCCGGGGGCGGGAGGCCCAGCCGTAATGCTTGGCGCACAGTTGATCCGCACACACGCTGTGTTCTCACCACTCTGTGCTCCCAAAGCAGCTGACCCAGCACGTGGCAGGCGCACATCAGGTGCCCACTGAACGTGGAAGAGCAAACCACGATTGTCACCCTTTTCACAGGTCACGGGGGGCAGATGTCTACAGCATGAAACCAACTCCGATACTCAAAATGCACTGTGAACAGATAGCTGCAGAGTCGGTAGAATGGTCATGCTGGCAAAAACGGCCATAAATGTGAGACCTGGGCAGATGCAAGTCCTAGCCAAAGAGAAAGTGTGACATGCCCATTGGGCATTCAGTATTTACTGGCCTGTATATGGGGCAGTGAGGTCCCTGGGTGGTGTAAACTGTTTGTGCTCAACTACTAACCTAGAGGTTGACAGTTCAAACTCGCCCAGCGGCACCATGGAAGAAAGGTCTGGCAACCTGCTTCTATAAGGGTTACAGCCAAGAAAACCTTACGGAGCAGTTCTACTCTGCAACACATGGGGTCGCCCTGAGTATGAGTTAGAATCAACTCAATGGCAACAGATTTTTTTTTTTTTTTCAATAGGGCAGTGAGGGTAGCAAGGACTCAGGAGTCAGAGGGACCTGAGTTTGAGTCTCAGCTCTGCCACTTACTAGCTGGGTGGCCTTGGGCAAATTATGCTCTTAAAGCTCTGTGCCTCAGCTGGGAAAGAGCTGATAATACTTACTTTACAAAGCCATTGTGAGGATTAAATGAGACTTTTATAAACCATCCAGCGCACAAAAGACGAGCAACAGGTGGCTGTTATCACTCTGTGTCAGGCACAGGGCCAGGGCCCGCAGAGGGCTGAATAAGATGCAGGTCAAGGAGTTAAAAGATGAGTGGGGGAGCCAGAGACTTGGCTTATTATAACAACTGTGGTCCGAGCCCAGGTAAAGGTGTGCTCCCAAAGCATGGTGGAGCCCAGGAGTGGCCCCAGCCAGGCCCGGAGGAGCAGTGTTTAAGGGCAGGGTTCCAGGCAGAGGGGGAGGCGAGGCAGCAAAGCCAGCACCACCCAGTACAGAGGGCCAGCGTGTCACTGCAGAGTCAAGACGTCATCCTATAGGCCAGAGGCTTTCCCAGCCTTTTTTTCTTTGACCCGCAAGAAAAAAGACATTTTCAACGATCACCCAGTCAACACGTTAATCTGTGTGCACGTATATACAAAACAGAAACAAATGTTTCACACAACATATTTAACCTCACACAGTAGGACACACTTTGATGCTTTCAGTTCTAGTCTAATCAATTTCACTTGAAGAAGAATAAAGCTAGTACCAACCCACTAAACTGAGCCATAGTATACAAGCACAACAGGCAATGTGGAGCATTAACAGGCTTTAGACAGGGGACAGGTACAGCTCGCCTTGCACTTGAGGCCCATCTCTCCATCTGCACCAGGGAGGCTGAGCTGGCAGGGAAGCATGGCTGGAGACAGGGTGCCCTGCTGGAGGCCAGGCAGCAGTCCAGGCCAAGGGGGGAGCATGTGGACTCAGGATTATTTTGGAGACAAAATCTGTAGAACTTAAAAACCCCTTTGGGGGCTGTTGCAGGTCAGGAAAAGGAGGTGCTCAGAATCCCCAGGCTTCTGACCTGAGGCAGAGAGGGCACATATGTGGTCCCCTGAGGCCAGGTCACAGGACTAAGGGCTGGACTGAGGGACTGGGCCATGCTGGTGCCTGAGGGGCATCTCCACTAGTCTATCCACAGGCCTTAGGAGATCCAGGGTTGAGGCTCCATGAGAGGACTGGGCTGGATCGAGATGTCACCATCAGAGGTGGCAACACCTGAGAAAGAATGAGATCGGCTGAGGAGAGCAAGCCTCGGATGCACAGTGACCAAAGCCAGAGCCCGACAGAGTGAAGGCAAAGGTGATGGACAGCCAGCTCCATGTGAAGTACGAAAAGATGTCAACCTCATTAGTATACCAGGAAATGTCTGTGAATACCAAGGACAGTATATACCAAGTCCTCTCCTACACTGCTAATGGGAGCATAAGCTGCTAAAGCACTCTGGAGGGCAATTAGGCAGTATCCAGAAAATATGAAGATGCTCATAACCCTACAGCAAATCTACTCTTAAGAATATATCCCAGAAAAGCTTGTAAAACTTCCAGTTGCACATCAGTCACTTTAGGATAAAAGGTGAGATAATTCTTGGGTTTACTAGAATACTAAAATGATTAGAACAATTATGACAAATTTTAAATAATTTAATATTTTAAAATGTTCTTTTTTAGGATAATCCAAAACTTACAAAAAAAAAAAAAAAATTCCATCTCCTTGTTGGAAGCTTTATTTTTCTTCATAAACAAGCCTGGACAATTAAATATATAAAAAACAAAGAAAAAAGGCATGGTAAAATAGGTTCAAGTAGCATTACTAGCTGAAAGTTAATTTAAAAATTTAAAAGGCAAAATAAGCTAAAAATATTATTAAAAACTGATTATAAAAAGTTGTAAATCCACCCTAGAGTGCATAAAGGACAACAAAATATAGAATTCATGGTTAGAAACATGCATTTTTGACCAATTTGCCTTGTGACTAGAAAGAAACAAAGACAAAATGTCAAAGGTATAAACTGGCTGAAAGGAATTATAATTAATTTTCCTTGAAAATTTTTGGAAAACAAACAAAAGCACATAAGAAGTTTTAAAACCATTCCACCACTTGCAAAAATATCAACCTCTCTCACCCACATCCAGCCCCTGCCCTACCCCATAAAATTTTGATAAGTGGACAAAATACTAAAGACCCTTTAAAAGCTGGGAAAAGCCACCCCGCAGTGCACACGAGTTACCCCTGAGGCCAAACCAGGCCTGGAAGTCCTGTGGTCATTCCCCAGGAAGGCCTGCCCCTCCCTCGCCAACGGCACCTGTACTCACTGAACGCCTTCCCTAGAGGGCAGCAGCACCGCTCCCTACTAACAGCACTTGTCTTCGGCTGGTTTTATTCTATTCCTCGACATTCAAACAATGACTACTATTCCTGCCACACTTCATGCCTGGCTGGGGATACAGGCATGATAGGGACCAGGGAACTGCCTTTAGGCAAGGGAGATCATAGGACCAAGTGACTCACTCTGCTTGGAGGGTCAGGACTGAAGACACTCAGGAGCAAGGGAAGTGCAAGTTGGCCTTAAATGGGGAGAAAGTCCTATGTACATCTCTTCTCCCAATTAGGGTGGCAGACCGTGCCTCATTCTTGTGGCTGCCCAGGTGCTCGGCAGAGGCTGGGTGTGGAGCAGGATGGCAGGGAACGCAGGCTCGGCCTGTCTTAGCCCCTCCCACACCGAGCACTGGAGGACATGGAATGACTGTCATTCATCTCTGCCTCCTCAGCGCCTAGCAAGGTCCTGGCACCCAATGTGCACTCAATGACGAAATGAGTGGAGAAAGCGACGTGTGTCTGGATTGCAGCGGCAATGTGCAAGGGTCTCAGGCACTTGGCCCTGGCAGGAGGCGGCTCTACGGTGGTTTGCACGGTGCTGGGGGTTGACTGCATACATAAAGCCGTTCTGTACTCAGGCTAGCTTTACAAAGTGTCTGTCGATAGGAGAACAATGAACTAAAGCACATGCAAACACACGATGGAATGCGAGAGCTCCCAACTATGCCATTAAGAAGCGTATCATGACATAGGAAAGTGCTCACGCTTTCATGTGAACCAGCCAGGCCCACCACGCTCTCAATTTGCAGACCTACATGTAGTGGGGAAAAAGGCAGAAAGGAAGTATACGGAAACGTTAACTCTGGTTCTCTAGTTGGTAGGATAACAGGTGACTTTCATGTCCTTCTTGATTATCTTTCTATATTGCCTAATTTTTGCCTATATATTGCCTATACTGCCTGATTTTTAGTGTCTATTACTTTTATAATTAGGGAAAAAAAAAGTTTCCTTAGAATTTACATTTATGTTTATGAGACAAATGGATGCAAATTTTATCCACATACTTAACAATATCACTAATAACTACTGTTGAGTTTTTACAATGTTCCAGGCATGAGGTTAATCTCTTTTATGCATCATCTGAATTCAACCTCAAACACTATCAGGTGGGTATTATCCTTATTTGACAGACGGGGAAACTGAGGCAAGGAGCTGTGAAGTGATGGGTCCAAGCTCCACAGCTCACAGGAGAGAGGGCTGGCTTCCCACCTGGCCCAAGCTCCTAATCAATGTGCTCTACCACACCGAAGTGGAATTAGGAAAGATGAGTGTTTCATTTCTCTTATTCTGAAATACTGTCACCTGAGAGTTTAAATTTGGGTCTTCTTTAGTTACCTATGAATACATAATACTTTCTTTACTGACTTCTTTAATCTCACCCAACTATAACTGCTGCCTCTTCCCACTGCTGTTTATTTCCTACTTTACACACTACCTTGACAGAAAAACAGGTCTACAGGTAAAGTGAAGTGGTCCTGGGGAGACCAGATAAGCCTTCTCTCCTGGGATCAGTCGACCTCTGTAAAGCTGGGTCAGGGGACCCAGAGGCGGTGGCTGTGGGGACAGCCTGCCCCAGGAAGGCCAGAGCCCAGCACCATCTCACCACCCTCGTGTGACATTCTGGGAGGCAGCAGGCAGTGGGGTGATCTTGGGCCCAGGGCCACAGAGGCCTGGGTCCACACTCTAGCTCAGCCCCTTGGGCCAGTCACTTAATGTCTCTGAACCTCAGTTTTCTCACCAGTAAAATGGGGATGATGGTCCCTACACCTCGTAGGGCTTGATGAAGCTGTGAAGCTGCTGGCATGGGGCTGGCGCTCACTAAATGCAAGCTGTCTCCCTGGTCAAAGAGTTCACAAAAGTTCAGACATTTACTACGCTGGTGCTAGGGTGCCGCCGACCAGCTGAAAGACAAGCAGGCCGGCAGCAATCAAAGAGTACAATAATTGCTGTCTCAGAGGCCTGGGCCGGGGCACTGGAACGGAAGCAAGGTCCTGAAGTTGGCCGCAGGAAGGCAGGAAAAGCCTCACAGGGAGACAGCATTTGAGCAGAGAGTGAGCAGGAGCTTCGTGGGGAGACAGCAGGGAAGGTGTTCTGGGCAGAGGGAGTATATCCACAAAGCACACAGAGCACCGGGCATGACCACAGAACAGCGAATTCCACTCCAGCCAGCACATACTGGGCATCAAGAAGCTGCACGGGCAGGCACAGGCCATGCGCAGGTGCATGAGCTTTATCCTGAAGGCTCCGAGGACACCTAGGACTCCAGCAAGGGGTGGTGTGATTGCATCCGAGAAAGAGATGGAAAGGTGGGCGACTGAAGGCAGGAAGGAAGGAGAGGAGGCAACTGCAATGGTGCAGGAGAGAGGCAATGGTGACCTGATAGAGGTGAAGGGTCAAAGGGCATATGAGAGCCACCAGGCAGGTGGCAGTGACTGGTGAGTGACTATGTAGATATGTAGGAAAGGAATGAAGAGGAGACTAGGATAACTCAAATTTCTGGGCTGGGGAACTAGAAAGGTGGGTAGTGTAGATGGTAATGGGGGGCAATAATCCTCCCCCAAAGGTAGAAATGCAAATACAAAGAACCAGGAAGACAGAAACCACTCTAAATAAACAACAGAGGGAATTTTATTCAGGTAGCTGGTTACACCAGTGACAGAAAAGCTGAGGTCAAACAGCTGATGGGAAGGCAGCCCAGAAATCAGCAATGGCAGGAGTCACTGCCACCCCTGGGTCGGAGGGATAACGGCTGGGGGAGGGGGACTGCTGGCATGGAGGACCCAGCAGCTGGGAGCTTGAGGCACAGGGATGAAGCCACTGCCAGAGGCAGTGCCCGTGACAGGGTGAAGAGAGCCACATCTCCAACTTCACCCTCTAGTCTCCTGCAGCATCTTTCCCACTGCTGACTCAGGAGCTGGGACACAGTCTGCTGGCCATCGCTGTGATACCGCATGCAGCAGTATGGACCTGTGAGCAAGCAGGCCAAGAGCTGGCACAAGCTTAGAAATAAGAGGCTGCGATACAGCAGGCATAGACGCAGGCACCGCTGTGCGCAAGAGGCACAAAGGTGAGACGTGAGAAGGGGTGGCCAGGCAGGAAGCAGAGAGAGGGACATATGGAAGCCCATGCTGGCAGCAGTCCAGCCTAAGGAAGTGGTGCCCTAGGCCACTGGGGCCAGGGGTTTGGTCCAGGGCTGTCCCAAGCATGGAAACAAAACTCTGGGCTCTCCCAGCCCACATCATCTGACACTGTCCCCGGGCTTCAGACTCCGGGTGTAGTGTGGTGGACACGGACTGCGCAGCTCAGACCTCCTGCCCCTCTGGGTCCATCACCACATTTGCTCACAGAGGCTGTGCCTCCTGCAGGCTGCTCCCGGTGGAGGAGTGTGCATAGCAGGGACACTAATACAGCCCCATTCTTGTGAGGCTCAGGCACCTTCAACAGGTGACCTTGGCTTAAGGACGCTCCACTGGCTTGGCCAAAACTTTCTTAGAACTGCACAGAGGCCTCAGTCTCCTCCTGCCCAATCCTTCCTTCCCCTGGCTCCTTGCACGTACATCCTTCACAGGTGTCTCCCCTCACAAACTTCTTGCTCATCTGATCCCATTTTGGCATCTGCTTCCCGGAGAACCTGAGCTAACATACCAGGATCCCCAGGTGTCTCTGGATCCTGAGTTAGTTTGCCAGGTGGGTCTGTGCCCAGGGGGAGAGAGAGCTGGGCACTGAATATGATATCTGGTTTTCACTGTGAGTGAACAATTAACTGGCTGGTTTTCAGTGAGCTGAGTGAGCCTGCTCCAGTACTCACTCCCAAACAGCTCCATCCACAGCCCACAGCCTCAGGGACATGCCCAGTCTTGGTGCCCTTTCTCCAGGGCGCAGTCACTGAAGTCATGCACATGAAGCTTCTCCCCACAAAGGCTTAGTTCAAGTTACATTCCAGCTATAACTCTACAAGGTGGTGACTGAAGCACAATATTTTTAGAAGTACCTGGGATCCTAAAAGAGTCTTTGTGTAATAGTCTCGAGGCATGAAAACTTCCACTATGGTAACTAGACACCAGAAAGCGTCTTCTTGTTCCAGGTACAGGAGGGCCACTGCCACCAATCTACGAGCAAATGGAGAATAAGGTGAGTGCCCGCACCCTGCGCCCGGACACGGACACTGCTGCCCGTCTTCAGAGACATCTGCACAACATCGGCTTCTCTCTCCTAGCCAAAGCTGTTTCTAGTTCTCCAGTCATGAACACTAACTGTTCACTGGCATGTGAGGTATGTTCTAAAGTTTGAGAAGCAAAGCTACACTTCTCCCTTCTCACTGTTCAAAGAAGATCAGATCGTTTCCCAATACTAGCCTTATTAAAAAAAAAAAAAAAAGTCTGTTTTCATTATAAAATTTTTGCTAATGCAGCTAATTCTGAGTTATTGTTCAAGAAGTTCCAACTAATCCTTTTATGGACAAGAAATCCAGAAGCAAATGTGAATGTAAGCGACAAAGATCACATGCAGGCTTAAAAACAACTTTCCCAATACCGTCCAGCTTCCATGCTGGAGGAATGAAACAGGGCTTCAGACAGGGAAACCCTTCTGAGGGGCCTTCTAGCAGAAATGTGTCCACAGCACACACACGGGGGGGAAAAGGAGAGAGAGTACGTGTCAGCTGTTATTGGTTCATAACGTACATTTGGGTCCAGCTATTTACATGCTGTCACTAATCAAGAGGTTACTCATCCAGTAATCTCAGGTGTCCCAGGGATGGCTCTGAGCAGGCATTCAGGGCAGAAAGATAGAAAGAAAGGCAGGAGAAAAGCCTCTCTCTACAAAACTGAAATCCAAGAACCTGTGTCCATAGCATGAAGCTTAGGTGTGCCATTCACAGGAACACTCCTGAAGCTCCTCAGGATTTTTTTTTCTCTTTTTCCTTCTCTAGATAAAACTACAATGAATTCATCGCAAATTAAGAGAGAGGGGGAAAAAAAAGACCTAGGGTAGATGGGAAGAGGCAGCCTCGAGTCGGCATAAGAGGAACGGAGAGCAGAAAGGTGACAACTGGCAGAGATGGCCGAGAGAAAAACAGGAAACGTGAGCGCACAAACCACATCCCACAGCCCCCGCGAACACCAAAAAAAGGGTAAAGAGCCCCAAACCAGCAGAGCCTTTGAGGGTATCACTTTAAACTAACTGACATTCAAGAGGGTCGGCCTGAATCATGGAGAAAAAGCTAAAGTTCCAGGCGCTCAGAAGGCATGGATATGTACAAACTATTTCAAGGAAAAAAAATCCAATAAAATGATTAACATTTAGAGGTTTTAATGCTGGTGGGGGTGGAGGTGCGGAGAGAAAGCTTCTCTGGAAAATTGACTTATGTCTGGAATGACTGATTCCATGACAAAAACCAGACAAACGGAGCATGACTGCACCAGCAGGAACTGCCACAGCTTTTCTTAGTGTCCCAGACAGGCAAGTGCAGGTCTTCACCATGACCCCTCAAGGCTTGAGAGGTTTTCAGCCTCCAGGAACTTTCAGATGGAGTATACAATGTGAATTGTGGATTTAAGCAAACAAGGTGCTTTGCCAGGCAGTATCCTGCTTACAGGCCTTTTCTGAAGGGGGACTATCCAGAAGCAGCTAACGCCCCCTTCACCCTCCCAGGGGCACAGAGAGAGCCTGCCCTCTCTTCACCACCACAGAGCCAACGACTTCCTGGAAACCACTCGGTTTCAGTGTTTACCCAAGTGACGTTCCAGGTTAAAAGCCTTTCCTCCTGCAATAATCTAACTTCAGATGCAAATAGATATCCCTTACCTGTTACCTGGAGGTCAGTATCTAGCATGATCAGGATTAAAAAGGCCTATGAGCAGCCAGAATACATGCCAGCATTCAAAACCTCAAGCTCGTGCACTCACTCACAAGAGAATTCCTGAAGCACACACACAGGGCTTCTTCATTCTTGTTTTATCTGTATTTCTAACCAAGCTTGGTTACCTAATTTCACTACACAGAGCAGAACAGAAATGGACAATTACGGTGACAGCCGAAAGCAGGAACAGCAGGAAGTGTGCCAGCAGGTAAGAATCAGACAGGTTGTAAAAAGCAGGCATAAGCACTCAGGAAGCCCAGTCCTGGGGAGTAGCTTCACGGAGAGCAGAGCTCAGTACCTCCTGAGGCTCGTCCTGGCCCAGCACAGCTCGGATGATGAGCCTGCATCTTTAAGAAAAGGCAAGAGGCTTTTCAGTGCCCTCTGTCTTGCAGGGAAGTATGCAAGACCTTTGAAATGTTACAGTGAAAAAGAAAGCAAGTTTGGGCCCTTCCAGGGTTGAGCTTCAACTAGCTCAAGAACTGACTGCTGGGGGCACAAAGACCCTCTGTAAACAAGGAGTGGCTATTAGTTTTCACTTCATGCATTATAAACTAATGAAACAGAACTTCTGATCAAAACCTGAGTATGATGACAACAGTGAGGAAGAAAAAAACGAGGAACCACGTTGCTTCAAAGAAATCTGACTTTGGTGTCCTTAATACTTTCTAAAAGCATGTGTGTTTCACATAATTACTCTAGAATTGGGGATATTGTATAATTAAAACCAGTTTGCTGCAACTAGTTCTTTCCCTTAAATGACTGGCTTTTCTTGGCCTACCAGGAAGGGAGGGAGCTTCAGGCAGTGCCTGGCACCTATAAGCTCTTCTGATGGTATGCTAACGGCAAACGGGAGCACTCTGCGCTGGGCACCCACCTGTTTAGACCCTGGCAGTAGCCGATATCGGGATTCCGCCAGGAGAAGGCAAGCAGGACATTCCGTAACTTCTGGATGCCTTCAGAGGTGGGGCAGGAGTAATGTTTGTTGTTGGGCAGTGTCCGCAGCAGGTCCAGCTCGATCTGCTTGGAGGCCGGGTTCTGCTTCTCCAGTGCCTTCTGAAGCAAGGTTTGGAAGTACCCAGGCTCAGTGCTGTCCTTGAACTTCCTTGTGTGAAGGTCCACACACCACTTCCACACCTTGGAACGGTGCTCATGTGGAATGCCTGCACGGATCAGGTTTTTTAGTTCTGGAGAGCACATCATCTCCCTGTTCACTGTGCTTGCAAAATAGTTTTCCCACTTGACCCCAGTGGAAACTTCCTGGTTTTCTGTGAGGTAGAGAGTCTTTAGGTCCAATGCTCGGACTTTGGCTACCAACTTCTCTTCCTCATCGTCCTCAGGTACAGTCCTAAACCCATAGATATCATATTCACTGTTGATAAAAACAAAATGAAGAGTCAAAATGACACAGTCTTGGCAAAAAGACCCATGAAATAGAATAGAGAACCTAGAAATCAATCCACGTATACACAGTAATTTGAAATATGACAGGCATTTTAAATCAGCAAGGAAAAATGAGCTTCTAGATAAACAGGGCTGGGACAAGTGGCTTTCTATATAAAAAAATAAAATTAGATCCCTCCCTTCTCGATATCACATAGAAAAATCAGTCCCATATGGGTTAAAGCCCTAAATGTGAAAAGCATAGAAGAAAATACAAGACTGCAAAACAAGACCCAAAATAAGACTGATAAATTCAGCTACATTAACATATGTGTGCGTGTATTTATATGCCATACACATACATATGTATAACTTCTATACTTCAAAAGATATAATTTAAAAAGACAAGGGACAACCTCAAAAACAACCAAAAAATATGTATGCGGCTATATTTGTATGTATGTATGTAGGCATATACATGTATAGGTATGTACATATAGATGTATGCACATACATATGTATATGCATCTATGTGACTGTATGCACGTATCTTCATATATATAGTAAAGCACATAGGGGCACAGTTACAGATACTTCTTAGACATAACCAAACACCTCATGGGATTGGATTTCTGGGTTTGAAGGATTAGAATCATAGTCTTGTGGGACAGCTCGGTCAACTGGCATACTATAGTTCATAAAGTTGTGTTCTGCATCCTAGTTTGGTGAGTAGTGTCTGGGATCTTAAAAGTTTGTAAGCAGCTACCTGAGATACAACTATTGGTCTCTACTTGTCTGGAGCAAAAGAGAAAGAAGAAACCAAAGACTCAGAGAAGAAACTAGTCTACAGGACAAACAGTCTACATGAACCACAGCCTCATCTACCCCAAGACCAGAACTAGATGGTACCCAGCTATCACTACTGACCATTCTAATCGGGGCCACAATAGATGCATCCTAATAGAATGGCAGAAAAATGTGCAACAGAACCTCAAATTCCCTAAAAAAACCCCAAAAACCAGACCAACTAGACTACTAGACTGTGGGGCTCCCCGGGACTACTGCCCTGAGATACACTTCAAACCTTGAACCAAAACTAACCCCTGAGGTCACCTTGTAGCTAAACAACAAATTGGCTCAACAAATAATGAATACCACCCATAAATATCATGCTCCTTTAAAAAAAACCTATATGAGACCAAACAGTCAACAATTACTTTAAAACAAAGATGAGAATGTAAGACGGCAGGAAAACTAAATTAATGGAAATGGAACAACCAGAATGGAAATAATGAGAATGTTCATGCATTGTGAAGAATGTAACCAATGTCACTAACAATTTGTGCAGAAATTGCTGAATAGGAACCTAAACTGCTGTATAAACCTTCAAAAAAAGACAATAAAACATTATTTAAAGAAAAAACAAAAAAGACAAGGGAGAAAATACCTATGAAGTATTAGGGATAAAGAGGAACTAAGGCTGAGGAGGCAGAATAATGGCCCGCGAAGATGCCCACGCCCTAATCTCTGGAACCTATGAATATGCTACGTTACATGGCAAAAAGAACTCTGCAAATACAATTAAAATTTCAGAATTTAAAATACGGAGATTATCCTGGATTACCTGGGTGGGCCCACTGTAATCACACCAGCCCTTGAAAGTGGAAGAGTCAGTCTGAAACATGACAAGAAGAGAGGAAGCAGGAGAGATGTGAAGCCTGAGAAGGACTTGACTGTTTCTGGCTTTGAAGATGGAGGAAGGGGGCCATGAGCATGGGAGCAAGGGATGCCGTGGCTTCTAGAAGCAGGGAAAGGCCCTCAGCTGACAGCCAGCAAGGAAATGGGGACCTTAGTCTTACAACTGCAAGGAACTGAATTCTGCCAACCACCTGAATGAGCAGGAGAACAAACTCCCCGAGAGCCTCAGAAAGGAACGCAGTCCCGCTGACACCTTTTTAGCCTGTGTTGGATTTCTGAATTGGACTTGTGACCCATAATACATTTGTGTTGCTGTTAAGCCACCAAGTCTGTGGTTATGGCAGTGACAGAAAAGTGACGCAAAGGCCCTTCACACACTGCTGCTGAGTGTGAGCCGGCACATGCACTATGAAAAGCAGATCTAGCAGAGCTGAGGATCTGTACTCCCTCTGGGGCAGGAAGTCACTCCTAGTCTAGAGAAACTCTCTCACATGGCCAAATCGAGACATGTACCATGATGTTCACTGCATCCCTGTTTGTCTTAGGAAAAAATGGAAAGCTCCTAAGCGTCCCCAAGGGGGAATAAAAACCACTGTGGTATACTCAGTGAGGTACTATAAATCAAAACCATTGCTATCTAGCCAATCTCGACTCACAGCAACACCACAGGGCAGAGTAGATCTGCCCCACAGGGTTTCCAAGGCTGAAATCTTTGGGAAGCAGACTGCCATATTTTTCTTCTGCGTGAGGTACTATACAGCAAGTTAAAAAAAAATGCTCAGGAGTGACACGTATCAACCTGGATAATTTCTGAAAATAATGTTGAACGAAGTAAGTAAGCTGCAAAAAGATATGTATATGGTGGGGCTGGTATCTAAAAAAGTGTCAGCAGTTAGAAATACATAGTGAAGTATTTACAGGTGAAATTACATGATGTCCGGAGTTTGTTTTAAAACACTCCAGGAAAGAAATTTGGGGTAGGGGAGTAAGACAAAGAAAGACTGGCGCAACATTAATAATTGTTAAAGCTGAGTGACAGCTGCACAGTGGGGTTTGTTTTACAGTAAAACCTGCGAAAGCCAGAACCTCTACAAGGCGGAAACCTGTCAGAGGAGGAAAACTCAAATACTTTCCACTAAAATGAGCGATAGAAAAGTGGTAAGACTGCATTCCGTCAAAGGTGGAAAACTTGCGAGACCCGGAAAAACAAGGCCATTCCGTTGAGTTCCGGCTCTCACAAGTTCACTGTATAATTCTGTCTACTACTTTGTATGCCTGAAATTTTCCATAATAAAAATCTTTCTACTTATATATAAAGTTTGAAAACACACAAAATATATAGTAAAAGTACAAAATGCACATGGGAAGAACACAAACCAGTGACAGGGTATTTGGATACCGCTGCCAGAATACCCTTGTAGGAGTTAACAACAATAACCACGAAAAAAGAAGTGGTGCTCAGCTTGGAGGCAGAGCCACTGAACCTGGGAATCTGCTTGCTGGGGCCAGGGTCCTGCCTCTGCCACTCACAGGCTGGGTGACCCTGGGCAAATTATATCCTCTCCCTAACCCCAGCTTCCTCATTTGTAAAGTGAGGATAAAAACACCCACCTCACTGAGCATTAAATATGATCCCACATGTCAAAAACCTTGGTGCAGTCTCTGGCACACAGCAAGCCTCAATAAAAGCAAGTTTTTGTCATAGTGATGTTGGTCACAGGCTGACAAAATATTTTTTACCGTCGCCTGAGTAGCCTAGACAATGCAGACAGGTGCTGGGAGCTCAGAGGGGTGAAAGGTCACAGGAGGCTGAAGCAAGGCTTGCCTGGGCCTGGAGAGGTGGAGGAGGAGAAGCTGGGTGAACGCAGCAAGCAAGGCTCAGACACAGGGAGACAGGATCTGACCCTGAGTAGCAAAGGGGCACAAACAGAGGAAGAGGTTGGACCAAGTGAATCTGCAGATCTCTCCTACCTTCAACATTTCATGAGTCTCATTTTTTTTTCCCCCCAGAAAATAGAATATAGGGTTCTTAACCCAGGACTGAGAAGCCCTGGTGACACAGTGGTTAAGTGCTCTGCTACTTACTGAAAGGTTGGCAGTTCGAACCCATCAGTTGCTCTGTGGGAGAAAGATGTGGCAGTCTGCTTCTGTAAAGATTTATAGCCTTAGAAACCCTACGGGGTGGCTCTACTCTGTCCTATAGGGTCGCTATGAGTTGGAATCAATGCAACGGCAACTGGTAATCCAAGATCCTGATGGGTTTCCAGGTTCTGTGAATTTCCCCAAAATAGATGCAATATTGTGTGTGTACATCTGTGTTCCCAAGTGTATTTCGGAGGCAGGAGTGTCCAAGGCTCTTATCAGATACTTAGTGGGTTCTGGGCCAGTGAATCAGGTTACCCAGTGTTTCTCACAAAGAAAGCCCAGTTTCCTATTTACGGGCTCCTTTTGCTTTCAAGCCACACGTGTCTCAGGAGAGGACTCCTACTCCTTGGGAGCCTGGCTCCTCCTGCTGCCGGACCAGAAGGCTGGCTACCTTGTATGGTACATGGGAAAATGGTTTGGAATCAAAAGATCTGGACTGAGTTCCAGCTCTATCATTTGCTTATTATTGGAAGGATGGTGAGAGCATTAGATGAGACACAGAACTGTGGAAAGATCTCTGTGAATGGCTTTTGCTGTTGAAAAGGGGAATTTCAGAAACGGGATTCTTGTGTGGTCGCACCACCTGCCGCAGTCACGAGCACCTTTACCTGACAAGATGAGGTTTAATGAACGCTTGCTCTGGCTGCTCTGGGCTCTCAACCTGCAGAGCGTCCTCCAGCAACTGGGCTATGACATCCCGAGTAGGCCCCTGTTCTTCTGAGCAAACTGGTGTCTTCATTTCTTGAAGCAATATCAAGTATTTACTTTCTATTTGGCAGAGCTTGGCTTCTAGGCTGGAATACTGCAGAGAATGTGGTGGTTACCGCCATCCAGACAGAGAGACAGGAAAAGCAATCCTTAGGGACCTCTAGCAATCAATGAGTGACAAGCCCAAAACTATTCGGAAGTGAGAGACAGATCATATCAAAGATAAGAAATGTATTTATGACACAGCCACCTGTCATATTTACAATGGCCTGCCATGGGACCCTCTTCCTTCTGGGGGCCTGGCATAGAAGGGTGCTGACCATCGGACCTCTGGAGGCCAACACACGCATCAGCTCTGGGCAGGGGGATAGCAGCAGAAACCAGGCCACACCCAATGACTGAGGTCAGGCTGGGTGTCACTTGGGACATGGGCCATCAGTGGCCACCCCACACTGCACCAACACTTTCCTAGGATGCTGTGACTCAGGATAAGCTCCCATCTGCCATTTTATCCCACAAAGTAAACACACCCCTGGAAAACATGCAGGAACAAGGTTTTGGAAGATGCTTTCAGGACCATTCAAAAAAGTGTAACAGCTGTTGACATGTGATTATAACTGTAACATCTGTGGTGCCTTTACACTTTGCAAAGCCTTTCCGCCCACCATCATATCTGAGTCTCGCACCGATGCTTCAGGCCAACAGAGGAGGCGTTATCCTCACCAGCCCACTTTATAGATAAAAACTGATGCACACTCAATAACAGAAACCAAAACACAAATAACCTAAATTTGGGGACCTCAGAATTGTGCTTGGTTTTTTTTTTTCTTGAAACTCCACTAAAAACGTGTATGTATACATGGAAGTCACATCTCAGGGCATTTCCCTTTGTCTTCTTCATAGATGAAGTGAGCCTAAGTACACAGAATTATATACTACTTATATTTTAAATATATTTTGAAACTACATCTTTCCAAGCATAGGATTTTAACTGATTTTAGAGCACGTCCATTTTAGAATGGTTTCCTCATCGTACCTCCCTCCAGATAACAGAACATATCCACCCTTACTCACCTTTGCCATCAGATCCTTCTCTCTCCTTTCTGCATTTCTTCGCAGAGCTGCAAGTTCCAAAATCTCCTTATTTAGAAATTTATTTTGGGTTTTGTATCCCTGCAGATTATCCTGTTGGGGGAAAAAAAAATCCATCAATTCACATTGGTTGAATGTTGACTAACTATTATATGCAATTAACATTTGGCTGCCTCACCAATCAAATAGCCCTGCTAAGTTAAGAGAGCCTGGTGGTGCAGTGATTAAGAGTGACAGCAAGCTACAGCTGCTAATCAAAAGGTCGGCAGTTCGAATCCAAAAGCCGCTCCTTGCAAACTCTATGGGGCAGTTCTACTCTGTCCTATAGGGTCGCTATGAGTCAGAGTTGACTTGATGGCAACGGGTTAAGTGAGAGAGTTCTGAGGAACTGGAAGCTCGCACTGGGCACTTTCCCAACAATACTGGTGGCCGCCTTTGGCAGGACAAGGCAGACAGGCACTGCCGCTGTAATGAAGGAGACGGGGAAAATGTACTCAATGGTGGTGATTTTTCTCAGGTGATAACAGGAGACGCTCCTCCTTAGAGGACTTTGCAAATTTTTATCTATCCACGTTCACAGAGGTGGTTCAATAAAGCAACATCTAATACTCATTTTTTTTAAACTAAAGAAACGGAACACGTTTTCTGTAGGTTCTCGTTTTTTACTTACCCAGTTTATGTAGAAAAGGCTACACATATAGCAAAAGCCCTTGACTAAAGAATTACACTTAATAATTAATATCTACATTGTATAAGATGTTAAGAGAACATTTTTGCCAACTTTTTTACATTAAAAGGTTACCAACCTATGGAAGAGTTGAAAGAAAAGTACAACGAACACAATATACTCTTCACCTAATGTGTTAACTCTGCCACGTTTGCTTTATCTCCTGAGGGAACATAACAAGCTGGTGACCGGCTCTGCCAAGCCCAAGCTGAAGTGCAGGTCTGGCAAAGGCAGATGGCATATGCTAGTTTCAGGGCTTGGAACTCTGAGCAAAAAAAGTGAAAGGAGCCAACAGAAAAAGGGAGTTTTCATGTAATATACTGTCAAAATAAAGTTCAGGGAACTTCTTTAGACCAAGCTAATAATAATAAAGATGAATTCAAAAAGCTTCCAAATAAAGATACTATTGAGAACCACCTCTGAGACAATGAGCTGCTCTCTACCAGCTTTAGTCTTTATTAAGTGCGTATTCCCTCTTTCTGACTATTTCTCTTTTATAACTTGACTGGCTGGTGCCTGGGGTTCCTGAGGAGGCTCAGATCCCTCATCACAGAAGAAATTCTGCTTCTAGACAGCCCCCCGGGCGGGCCAGGGATGGTGAGGAAAGGCACCGAAGGCTTGTTCTGTCACAGGAAGGAAACCACTGCCATCTCCCAGAGACATGTCTGGAGATGTTCCCCATCTCCAAACTAGAAAACACCATGCGGTACACAATTTCCTCCATAAAATATCCACAAACTGACAATGTTTACATGGTCCCTACAGCTGTTAACATTTACGGAGCACTTGCTACAGGTCACAGGGGCCCTGTTCTAGGTACTTTAGGTTCTTATCTCATTTAAACCTCACAACTCTTACCAAAACACCCAAACCTACTGCCGTCGAGTCAAATCCCGACTCACAACTCTTGGGTAGCCATTATCATTACCTCTGTTTGCCAGGTGAAGAACTGAGAGATTGCCCAATGACACAACCACTAAGTGTGTGGACTACGAACCGGGCCTCTGAGAGCCAGGCCTGGTGAGCAATTCTGTGTGCTCAGCCCAAGACTCCCACCTGAGCTCTGATATGCGTTACACCAACGCAGACTCAGCAAGACCACACATCACTACCAGCATTCAAGTATCTAATGTCAAACACAGAAGAAGGTCTACTGCTCTTCCTTTATGACCCAAATCATGATTTTCTTCCTCCTGGCGTCTTAAAGCTCTCGTATTGGAAAACAATGAACAAATACTTTACTAAAAGGCAGGTCAACCAAAGGAAGATGAGCTGGAGGGCAACTAAAGAACACACTGAAGAAATGATGGACTGAGTGATACAAGGTGGGTCAGCGAAAGCAATTAATCATATTCTGACATATCTATGTTTTTAACTTAAAATTTTTGTTATGGTCTAAGTAAATCCTGATAATATATCCTTAGGACACTTTCCCTAGCATGATGATGATGATGATGATGATGATCACAGCAATACCGGACCTGACAGTGAAGAGCCCATGAGGTGTCAGGGACTCTGTGAGGGCTTCACATGGATTACCTCCTTCAATCCTTACAACAACCTATGAACGAAACCCTATTTCACAGATGAACACACTGAGGCACACAGAAGTGAAGTAACGTGCCCAAGGTCAGAGCTCGTAAGTGGTGGCAACACTGGGTTTGAACCTAGCCAGGTCTGGCTCCAGAGTCCACACTCTGTTTAAACCACCACCCTGTACTGTTCTGTGCTCCCTTCCTTTCCACTACTTACAGCTGTAATTCTGCTTTTATCTGTGTGCTTTCTAAACTGTGAGTGCCAAGGAGACTGGGTCTTCTTTGCTCTACACTGTGTCTACCTGCAAAACACAAGACCTGGCATATGGTGTCATGCACCAGACATTTGCTGAATGAATGGATGAAACTGCCTAAAGAAGAGCTGTATGCATGAAGATATGCATAGAATAGCAAAACGCAGGAAAGAAGATAAAGATTGAGTAAATAATGACGCAGTCAAAGATGGACAATTCTGAAATCTTTAATGATAGCACCAAAGAAAACACAACACAGAAAAGTGCTTCAGCTATAATGCTCAATGAAACAATACAAAAGTCTGTCTATACCAAAATGAAGAGTTATGTATACACAGAAAGGGCGTGAAAAGAAACATAGAAAAAGTATTTAAATTGCTAGGGTGGTAAAATCCTAGGATCAATATCTGTTTTGCTTCAAAAAACAAAAGAAGTAAAAACTGACCATGTTTTAGACCACAAAGGAAATGTTAGCAAATTCCAAAAAGCAGAAATCTTCACAGGCCACATTCACTGTCTATAAAGCAATAAACCTGGATATTGCTGGATATTATAGCAACAATAAAAAGAGCCAAAATGAACATACATCTATTCCCACAGACATTTTAAAGTGTGGGTCAAAAGAAGAGAAAACACACATGAAAATATCCATTTGTGTCCAAAGCTCTCCCTCTTCCTCCCTCAAGCCTTTTCAGTTCTTCTGATGCCACTGCAGGGAGGCATGGATTAGGGTGTCTTTAGCATCGCAGAGGGGACGCCCCTGGCACTGGCAATCGCAGGTTCCAGGCAGAGCAATGTCAGAAAACACGAGGTCAGTGACCCAGGCAGGACTCACCTGTCCCACCTGGAATTCCAAGCCACAAGCAAGTCACCAAACCACCATTCTGCCACTTCACAAACCGTGTCGACACTTAACCTGACTGCCTGTTGCAGAATTTGGGAGCCACAGGCTCTAAAAACTAACATGAGAAATGCCGGGGAAAAAATTTTCATGACTAATTCAAAACGGCCCCATCCATCACACTGCAAAAAGAATAAAGGGGAAAATCTAATTGTGATCAACCCTGTCAGCTGTCTCCACAAGGGGTCTGCAGAGTCGAAGCAGCAATGTGACACGCTCTCTCCACACACACCCCAGCTCTGTTCCCGGTCCCTTGCCACATGCCTGTCCCACTGCCAAGCACCGCTCACATGCTGGCAAAATATACATTTCTGGTAGCACTAAATAAGTACTCACAGAATGTGTATCATCGACGGGCTGTATATTAGCATCCTGTATATTCTAGGTTGTACATATAAACAAAACTGACTACCACTGGCAACACGAATCCAGATCTCATTTTTTTTTTTCTTACATTGGCTATTTTTATAGTAGATATAAGTATAAATTAATGAGATGGTTTTTTTTAGGGGGGTAGGGGTTGCTGTTTTAGATTTTCTCATTAATAAATCCTTCTGACTCACATGTCTAATACTGTCAGCACTTACAAGTGGCCACTATGGGAGATCAGATACATATTCAACAATGTTGCCATTATTCCACTGTTTTTAAACTTCTATTTTGGAACATCTTCAGGACCCCTCATTCAATCCACTGACAGTGTATGAAAGGTACCACTACGCATGAAGGAAATGTTCAGTAAGACCCTCAGAAGTAGTAAATCTTTGTCCTTCACGAAACTGTATTGGGAGGAGGTGAACACCCCTGGAGTCCAAGTATTTGCAAGAGGTAGTCAGGTGAGGAAGCCTTTGGGCCCGGTGGGGCCTGTAGCCACAGACCTGTCCGGGTCACATATTTCTCTGGGCTGTACCCAATGTCCCATGTCCTAGAGGGCACTTCTCCACCTGGAATCTCTCCCACAAGGTCTCAAGAACTGGTGGTAGCAACACTTATCGTCCTCTCCATGGCCTCACTGCCTTCAGCACCCCCACCTGAATGGGCAGCCTCCTCCACAGACTGCCTCTGCCTCCCACAGATGCTGTGTGCTCCTCCTACCTCATCAGCTGGTCACCAGCCCAGGTATGACTTGGAGTCACCTCTGTGCAGGAACCAGCCTCCCACCCCCAGTACCAGCCCAGAAAGGGATCCTGGGAGGAGAGTGCTGCCCTCCTTCTGCAAGTATCAGGACTCTCCCACTTTGGGTGGGGGGCACTGACTCCCAGCAGTCCCTCCTGCCAGGCTGCTTAGAGCTGGAGTCCACGCCCCCAGCTGACTCTACACTAGCCGTTGGGGACAATGCTTCCTCTCCTGGCCCCCACTAGGTCCTGAGTCAGGATGTACAAATAAAGTCTGTGTGTGCATTCAGGTACTCAGAGGTGAAAAGGAACAGCCTCTACAGGTTACCTGGGGTAACAGAGTTTAAGTTTTATGGGTGGCATAAATAGGAAGAGAAGGCTGAGTTGCCTGAAAGCAAGGGAGAAAAGATTTGCAACTGTTCCAAGCAATGGCAACATCAAGGGACTATGAGTTTCATTTTCCAAGGAAGCTCTTTGGAAGACTGATAAGGATTTCACTCCAGGTTCTGTCAAACCTGTCAAAAAGGCACAGCTGCTCTGCTGTCATGCCAAATTAGCTCACCGAGGCCAGTACCTCTAGGGTGACATCAATGGAGCTAACAGGTTTTTGGCTTTCTCATCCCAATAATCGGCACCCAACCTTTGCTCTTACATTCAGCCTGTCCAGTTCCAGCTGGTCCCGGCTGGCCAGGGTGGTGGAGGGAGAGCCGGGTAGCGCAGCCGGGGAAGATGGGTTGCCCTCGCACTCGCTGAGCTGCCTCGAGAGCTTGATGATGACCTCATCCTTGGCCTGGATTGTCTCCATCAGCATTCCCAGCTGCTCATTGACCTCACCCACTTTGCTCTTGAGCTTCCTGACTTCCTGCTGAAGATTCTCTTTTTCCAGGTTGAACTTCTCAAGCTGGCTGGTGAGGCCCAAAATTTGATCATCCTTTTGGTGCAGAAGCTCCAGGGTGTCCTTTGGGACGCCGTCACAAAGTCGGCTGCTCGTGAAATACTTGTCATACTGGGAAGACCGGACTGTCTGCTGGAGCAGCCGCACAAGCTCCTGGGAGCAAAAGGGAGCATGGAATGAAAGGTAAGGAGAGCCAGGGAGAGGAGGAAAAGCAGAAATCATGACAACGCTGCACACAGCACTCACTGGCATTTGAGGAAATGCAGAAACTTTACTGGAAACATTTTAATACTGAACTTCCTCTTGAACGATCTCAAAAATAGAGAGGAAAAAAATATTTACTCCATAAAGACTGTCTGTAGAGAACAATAATAGGAAACAGGAAATCACGAACATGCACACTGAAATTAGCAACGGTTCCCGGTAAACGTTCATCAGTTAAAAAATCTGAGCTCTATAATTTACTGAACTACTGAGCAATTAAGTGTAATTAGGTCTGACTAGCTCAGAAGGAAATCGTGTTGTTTAACAAGATGTAGAAATTCTTTTTGGCAACTGTTAAGGACCTCCAGGCTGAAGATATGTGCAGGGCGTGGATCTCAGGGGCAGGGCTAGGTGTGGATGCAGACAATGCCTTCCTCTGACCTCCTTAATGGGGCTTCTCTCCTTGTAAACTCAAGTGTCTTTGAACAAATGACCAAGCAGAGGAGGAGTGCCTACGATGGTGGCTATGGCAACATGGAACTTTTAAGGGAAAATCACCTTCTGGGAAACAAAACTGCCTCCCAAAAGGTTCACAGAAACAGAAGATAGGCTTTCCTCCTTGGCCTGATAACGTGAGATAAGACAGAAGTTAAAAGAAGAAAAATTACCTTCTGACTGGAGAGGTCTTTCTTTAACCGTTCCAGCTCTTCCTGTTGACTCTGAACCTGCAGCTGCATTTCAGAGGATAGCTTGCTGATGCTGCCACCACTTGATGGCCCCTCGGCTGAAGGGTCACCACTACTGTGACGATTTTTGTACGACCCAATCATGTCTTTCAAAGGCCGCTTTCCTTTGTAGGGGATACGTCCAAAATCAAAGGGGAATCCTGAGCCAGTTATTCCTATGTAAAAACAAAACTTGTTTTTTAAGCGCTGGCCAAATCTTCCCTTTGGTAGTGGCAATAAAGCACATTGGCATCCTCACATGTCAGCCTCCAAGGAGCTCTGCATTCCTCACCAAGAGAACTAGGGAGGCAGAGATGCCTCTTTGCCCCGCCTCAGGATGGTAATAACCAACACGCCCACAATCAAAGATGATTCCCCCTACCGGATCCTCCCTTGTAAGAACCTATCATGTGACCAGTGTGAAAGAAAACTTTCTCTACTGGATTACTCAATCTTTGCTTTAAGACAGATGAAAAAAGGCACGCTGTAAACTGGCACTAATGAAAATTTGACAAAATTATGTCACACGTCTCTTAAGATTCTTTCTTAATACTATGTTTATTTTCCAAAACCCTTTTTCAAGAGATCAGTGCTGTGCCTATGTGTTCACATCACCATTTTCCCATTTCGAGCACTTCCCGGACCCAAGAGAACAGAGATGCAGGTCAGGGGAGAACATGGCTGGCTGCTCTAAGCTGCCACGGAGCTGAAACAATGACGTCCCTTCCCCGGGCTCCCATCTCCAAAGTTCAATGATATGTTCCAAGTGTAGGAATGAAGAGAACGGAGACAAAGGTCAGGAGAGAACATGGCTGCTCCAAGCTGCCACGGAGCTGAAACGATGACGCCCCCTGCCCAGGTCCCCACCTACGAAGTTCAGTGATATGTTCCAAGTGGAGGACTGAAGAAACATACTAGGGATCTTTGGCTTCCTACTTTTGCTAATTTGTTGCTAGTAAAAAAACAAAAACACAAATGTATGGCTTTTTAATCTTAAACACATTTTAAAGAATGACTGTATCCTCTTCCTAAAAAATGAGTATTTAAAAATATTGTGGAATCCAAACATATTTTAGTGTAGATGGATTCAAATATATGCTCAAAAAGCAATGAGGGGCCACAGAGGAGACACACTGTATAGATTACAACTGTATAAAGTTAGTAAAGGGGCAAAAGCTAACTGATGTTATCAGGAGTCAGGACAGTGCTTACCCCTGGGGTGGGGGAGTGACTGGACGGGGACACAGAGGTGGCAGTTGGCTTCTGGGGAGCTGGTATTATCCTGTTTCTTGAGTGCTGGTTACAAAGGTGTGTTCACTTTGCGAAAATTCATCAAACTATACTTGTCTGATCTGGGTGCTTTTCTTTATGTTATATGTCAATAAAAAGTTTACATAAAAAATAGGGGAAAAATACAGGGAAGGGCAGTTTACTTCCTGTAAATTACAGGGACAAGCTAGTGGGCTGGTTCTTAGAGCCATTACAGGAAACTCCCGTGAATCAAGCAAGATCAAAGTTCAGAGGCATCTTTGTCTCTCCAAGTCTTTCACATAAGCTCCTTTTCAGAGCTGGGCTGAAAAGGCTGCTAACAGTCAATAAGACACTTTCCAATGATGCTGGGAGCTCCTCATTCCTTCTCGAGTCGCTAAGCCCATTCCTCCTTCATAACCACTGTCACATTCACCCCTTCCATTTCATTTCCAGACTCTCTCCTGCAAGTCAGAGCCAACACTGCTTATCTTCAATAATTAAAATCCCTCTTCCTCCAGGAAGCATTCCCAGTTTACAATGGCCCCCTCTCTTGGGTGCCCCCACTGGCTATGTCATACAGTGGAATGAAGCAAGCATACTCAGCCTGGCCACATGTTACACCATGCCACACTGGACCAGTGGGTCCTACACCATGCTTCTGTGGGACACAGATATTCTTCCCCTCAAATCAAGTCATGCAGCCCTTTCCCAGGGGACAGAAAAAAATACTTCCTTTAGTATGCACTTTCTCTCCCAATGAAGACTTCCTAAACTCATGCCTCCTACTCCTGCCAACCAAAGACAGAATCAAGCATAATGCAGAATCTCAAAATTATTTACTGTTATTTTAAGTTTAAAATATCAACATTCCTTTAATGAATTAATGAATCTAGGATAAACAGTGGCTACTAAAAGCACTAGGCGAAAGGCTGATGGAGAATTTTATCAGTCTTAATATCACAAAAAGAGAGACAACCACACATTATGTGGCTACGGGTATGATGCAATAGGAAGTACACAGAACCCTCCAAAAAAGTATTGTGGCCATAATCAGAAGTCAACCCTGAACCTGGGCAGGCCTCTGGACTTAACTACTAGTACACAAGTAATAAGGGGACAGAGAAGCATGTTAAATGACACCACAGAAATACAATTAGCAAAATCCAGAATGTGGGAAATTCCTCAGCACAAAAGACCCTGTTTCTTTAACAAATATGACAAGGGAAAGGGAAAAAAAGAAGTTATTTTAGGGGAGAGGCTGAATCCAGTCCCTGTTGTTCTGTCTTTACTAGAAATGGAAATCCCAATGTAGCTTTTACCCCTGGGGTAAAACTTTTAAAAGGACTGTTGATAAAAGAGTTGTTCAGACTAATACATGCTTAAGAAGACATATCAACTAAATATAAGAATGAACTTTGTTTGGATCCTTATTAAACAGATCAACTGTAAATAGACATTTATGGAACTGGGGAAGTAGATAATATTAAGGAATTACTGTTAACTGTTTTTAGGTGTTATAATGAAGCTATGGTAATAATTTTTTTAAAAAGTCATTATCTCTTAGAGATACATACTAAAGTATTTACAGATGCAATAGATGGATGTCTAGAATTTAAAATAATGCAGCTGACAGTGGGGTGCAGGGAGGGCTTGGAGTTCAGAGGAGCCACAGAAAAAATAAGACAGGCCATATGTCCAAAACTGTGGAAGCTGGATGATGCATGCCTCAGGATTCATTATATGATATACTCTACTTTTGTAAATGTTTCAAAATTTTCATAGCAACATTTTTTTAAAATCAGTACTTCCACAAAGACACCATGACTTCTGGGTGCTTTACCTCTGGAAAACATCTAAGAACCACTGTAATGGACAATGACTTATTTCCTGTAACATCTAATTTTTCAAGTGTTTATGTTTTATCTCCCATAAAGAGAACGCAAACCCTCACTGGGCCTTACAATTCCAGAAATACCTGCTCCTAGAGTGTCTCCCATGTCACTGGTAGTTAATAGATGGCAGCAGAGGGAATGACAGACAACAGGAACCATGTTTATACCTTTGCTTCCTTCAGGGGTCTGCTTCTTCCTTTCTTCCTGTACCATGGACTCCTCCAGGTCCTTAGGGCTTGGGTCTATAAGTTCCCACTCTTCAGTGGTATAAAACACACTCTTCCGACTGTCGTTATGCCCTCGTCCAGAACGAAAAGAAGACATTGAATTTCTATTGAGAAAGAAAGAAATATGCTATTTAAAAGAAAAAAATAGTAAAACAAAATCTAATTTCATGTGTACAAGATTGGTTAAAATTAAAAGATCTGGTAATACCAAATGTTGGTGAGGATATGGAGAAATGGGAACTCTTACATACTGCTAATGGGAGTATAAATTGGTACCATCACCATGGAGAGTAAGTCAGCAACACACATTTCAGCTGAAGAGGTGCCTACTCTAAGATATAGCACTTCCTAAAGAAATTCCTGCACACGTGCACTAGAAGACACGAACAAGAATGCTCATTGCAGCATTGTTCGTATTAGCGCAAAAAAAAAAAAAAAAAGTACAATCTAAACATCCATTGACGGAGAATGAATAAATAAACTATAGTATATTCATACAATCACATATTATACAGCTCTTAAAATGAATTCATTCATTCATCAAATACTTACTGAGTGCTTACTATGTGCCAGGCACTATTCTGGGTACTCAGGATACACCAGTGAACAAAACAGAGCAAGATTCTTGTCCTTGTGGAATGTATATTCTAGCTAAAGCTACATGTATTATGGATACACGTAACCATAAGATAAAGAGCCCTGGTGGCAAAGTGGTTAAGCGCTCAGCCGCCTCCTACTGCTCTACACTGTTAACCAAAAGGTCAGCGGTTCGAACCCATCAGTAGCTCTGTGGGAGAAAGATGCGACACTCTGCTTCCGTAAAGATTTATGGCCTTGGAAACCCTATGCGGCAGTTGCTATGAATCCGAATTGACTAGATGGCAACAGGTTTGGTTTTTGCTTTTTTGTCCATAATATGGATAATTTTTTAGAAAGCTGAATGAAAAATAATTGGAAGAATGACATATACAGCATGATATTGTTTTAAACCTTCAAGGTTACACTTAATAGATATGATTTATAGATACATACATATGTAGTAAAACTATAAAAAAAAGATATACATATGAATGATAACTGTCAAGTACAGAATACTTGTCACCTCTGAGAAAGGCAAAAGAAGAGTGGGATCATAGAGAAGAGAGGCTTTTAACTGTATTTATAGTGTTTTTTTTTAAAAGCAGCAGAAATTTGACAAAATAACTGGCTATTGGTTACCCAGGAAATCAATGCACTATATACTTGCCTGTATGCTAAAAAGTTTCATTAGAAGTTTTAAAAGCTACCTTGGGATTTCCAGTGAAGACAGAACAACAAGGACTGGATTCAGCCTCTCCCCTAAAACAACTAAAAAACTGAACCAAATATAGAAAACAATGGTTTTCTGACACTGGGCATCAGGCAGCAGAGGACAGTGATCCCTGAGAGAGGGAAAACAAATGGGGTGAGCCTCACAGGTGCCCCAGCATATTGCCTGGAAAGTGTTTCCAGGTCACAGTACAGGCAGAGGGAACACAGAGCTGGGGACCCCAGGGCAGTTAGAGTTTACAGGGCAGAGTAATAGAGAGAAGAGAGCTACACAGAGAGAGGGCTGCAGGGATCCTCAGAGGGTCCCCCAAGTCTTCAGCTGAGTACTGATCAGGGCTTGCGTGAAAGGAAGCTACCCAGAGTGGAAAAAGACCACCTGAAGGAGCAAAGGGAACAATCCCTGAAGCTCACACAGGGCGGGGAATAGGGCCTACAATCAGCAAGAATGGAAAACCTCATAACTCATGGGGCACTGGACAGAGTATTCAGAAGGGTTACTGAACCTATCCTTAAACTAAAGGCTGCTCTCATCCCAAGCTTCAAAAGGATCAAACTGTTTCCAAGTAATTTAACTGCATTCCAGAACAAAACTCAAGAGTATTTATAGGAATATAAAAAAAGCCAACACCCAAAAAGGCAAAACTCACAATATCTAATAAAAATTAAACATGCATGCAAAGAAGTAGGAAAATATAACCCATAAGAAGGAGAAAAATCAATCAGCAGAAATGGCAAATGATAAAATTAGTAGACAAGAACTTTAAAAGTTATTATAACTGCATTCTCCATATTCAAGAGCTAGAAGAAAGACTGAGACGTGGGAGATGTAAAAAAAAAAAAGCAAACAAAAAGACTCAAATCCAACTTCTAGAGACGAAACTACAATGTCTAAGATAAAAAATACACTGGATGGGATTAATGCAGTTTAGACATTGCAAAAGAAAAGATCAGTGAACTTGGTGACATCAAAATAGAAACTATCCAAAATGAAACACAGAAACGACAGGAGGGAGGGAGAGAAGGACAGACAGACAAACAGTGTATCAGCAATGGGACAAGTTCAAATGTTCTAATATACGTGTAATTGGAGTCCCTGAAGGAAAGAAGGGGAGGAGACAGAAAAAAATACGTGAAGAAATAATGACCAGAAATTTTCCAAATTTAATGAAAACTATAAACCCACAGATCCAAGAACCTCAACAAACTTCAAGCCCAAGAATCATGAAGAAAACTACATCAAGGCATATCATAATCAAACTGCCTAAAACTAATGATTAAAAAAAAAATTTTTTTAAAAGAAACCTAATTTTCAAAAGAAAGGGATAGTCAAATTTTTATTGTTAAACTGTTGCAGTGCACACATGCCCTGTGATGCACTCACTGGTTATTTAAACAATGCAAATTTATTATTGTGGTACACACACAGGTTGTCCACTAATAATATCGCACTCATCTGATCAGAGCCAGGACACACAAGATGCTCCCAGAGCATTAGCACACAGAAAGTAGTGGATAGCAAAGAATACATAAATAGTGAGGAATTTACATTTCTCTTATGTCACTGGGCAGGCACATCTCTTGGCTAGCTCTGCCGCTTTCACTGCCGGTCCAGCTCTCAACCAGCAGCCTTGGTACAGTCCTGGACTGGAGTCTTTCCAAGCAGAAATGCTCTGAGAGCAACCCCTATGTGGGGTGTACCCAGGCTCAGCAAACTGCTCCCCCACACCCCCACGCCTTGGACAGGGCCCCCTGCGCCTCCCAATCTCAGTCAGGGTTTCTGCTGCTGCCCGGGCCCAGTCATGGCTGCCCAGGCCCACCTGTGGTCTCAGCTGCCTCTAGTGCTACTGTAGCCCCAAGTGTTACAGTTCTTGGCCCACTCCTCTCAGACCGCTGTGCTGCCACGTCTCTGCTCAGTAGAGGCTGGCTTCTGCTTCTCCTGGCTTCTGCTGCTGTTTTCTCCCACCTATGCCTCCTACTGGCTCTAGGGTTTCTGCTGCTTCTGGTGCCAGTCCCTTCTGATGAATCATTCAATCTCTTATCCCCAGGCTGATGTCTCTACCCTGGGACAAGGATTGGCGGGGGCGGGGGCAGAAGTGAGGATGGGGGGATGTGTTCTTCAGCACACAGCTTCCCTGTACCCAGAGGACGTGCTCATCCCTCCTCCGAGAGCCTATGAATGTTCGCACTCCCCAGCCTGGGAGCCTTCAGGTAGCATCAGGCCCCCAGGTGATCCCTCTTATTGGGTCAGCCCTCCCTCACTGGCCTCAGTTGTGGTCCTACTCTCAGAACCAGAACCAAAGGTCAAATAATTCACTGCAAAAGGGGTTCCATGCCCTGCAACTGCCAAGAGGTAAGACTTATAAGTTTACTATAGAGAGAGATCTCAAATTAATTCAACTTTCCGATTACAAATTGTTTGAGCAGTTAGTGAATGAAGCATTACTTTAACCCCATAACCCACTGCCTTCCAGTTGATTCCGACTCACAGCAACCCTATAGGACAGAGCAGAACTGCCCTATAGGGTTTACAAGGAGCTGCTGGTGGATTCCAACTGCCAACCTTTTGGTTAGCAGCCATGCTCTTAACCACTGCACCATCAAATTACTTACCCTCAAATTACTGGCATTTAATCTGAATAGCATTCCCATTTTACAGACACAGAGATGACCTACTTGGTCTAAACCACACAGCCTAACCAGTAGCATAATTAGCATGAGCCCATGCTTTCCAACTCCAAAGTCCTCCTTATCGTATCCCGCTGTCTAATGTCTGATGAACCACCCACTGAGTGTGAAAAACAAGTCTAGATATGCTGGAAAGACCAAGACATGCAAGCAGTACCCATTTAAAACAGGCCAACACTCCTGGGAGCAGGAGTAAGGAGGCTCTGCTCCCAAGGAGGGGGGCTGTGCCAGAGAAATGCTTTTGCTACACTGCATTCACCTTCCTCACTGGGATTTGGAGCCTCAAGGCTGGCTGGAGTCTAAGTTATAGAATTAAAATTGAGGAGGAACTCAATTTGATTAAGGGTATCTACAAAAACTCTACAGTTAAGATCATGTTCCACAGTGAATGGCTCAATGCTTTCTACCTAAGATGAGGAACAAAGCAAGGATGCCCACTCTTGTCACTTTCATCCAGTATTATAATGGAGGTTCTGATCAGTAATAAGGCAAGAAAATGCATAAAGATTGGAAAGGAAGATATAAAACTCTATTTGCATATGACATGATCGTGTACTTAGAAAATTTTAAGGAATCTACAAAATGCTACTAGAATCAGTAAATTTAACAAGGTTGTAGAATTCAAGGCCAATATACAAAAATCAATTCTATTTCTATATACTGGCAATGAACAATCAGAAAATGAAATTTAGGAGGCAGGGCCAAGAAGGCAGAGTAGTCAGATGCTTCCTGGGGTCCCTCTTACAACAAAGACCCAAAAAAACAATGGATTGATTCTATATGACAATCTAGGAGCACGGAACATCAAAGGCAAAGTTGAGGAATCGGACCGAGTGGCAGGGGGAGGGAGAGATGGTTCAGAAGCAGTGAGGAGTTGCCAGACCTGACCCGGTGGGAACCAGCACCTTGCAGCCAGCACACATGGCGAGGCAAACAGTGGTGCTCGGGATGTGTTTTTCACATTGGGAGAGACCGAGCATCGGAGAGTCGACTCAAGCCTCTAGAACCAGTGAAAAGCGGCGCTCAATTGGCAAAAGATAAATACATGTGTCTAACTTACCGCACGGATCAAAAAACACCCCTTTAAGGAAAAACCTCTCTCCCATTTACC